AAAGAAAGGGACTTGAAGAATTCAGAAGATTAGAATTCGGGAGAACACAAAGAGTGGATACACCTGCTCATTAGCAAACGATTCTGAGCCATGTCATTCAGGGTCTTTAACCGTCACCACCCCGTAGATATATGTGGTGGGAATTCTTAATGCTGTGACACTGATTTTGTTTTTCACTATGTCAGATCAATTGTCGCTTGTCATTACCACCTGACATACCCTTGGTAGTGACAAGTAATGCCTCAAAATAGTGTTTCTATCGGGGTTGGCAAGACTACAATAGTCATATAAGTAACAGCATTATACCTACATTTATGAATTACAATTGTCCTAAATAACCTAAGATGAATTGTGTATTCTAACTTGTGAATAACTGCTTTCAGGAATGCGACTATGACCACAGTTCAGATTTCTTTACCGGAAATCTAAGTAACAGAGATTCATGTGATCGTTTGACAAACGTATGACAGTATTTTATTAGCTCTTCTGAATATATTGTCTTTTCTCATGTGTAAAAGCACCAGTGTAACGACAACACTTATGAACCATATGGGAAATTGCAAAAAAATGAGGAATATAAGAAGTGAAATGCACCACTAAAAATTAGGGTAATAGTTTTAGGGTAACTTAAATAACTACGGTTTCTTATACACACGAAAACTTTCGAATTCCATGAGGATAGTATCTTACATTTTCTGCAATTTGCAAACACAAAACTGGAAAGTATTGACAAAACTGACAATGCCATACACCTACAATATAATATTCAATAGAAGCAGCTAGAAATAACATAATCAACTATATGGTGCACAACAACAGCTTTTTGAATCCATTATTTATCTCTAAAGCTATCAGAAGAAATGTTTCAGTAATAGACATTTCATATACTTAAGATACAACTCCATCCCTCTTAATTCCTGATCTTATGCGATCGTTTGTAATGTTACTGCAGTAACATTCCTAGTGTTCTCAATTGAGAACTTCAAAGTCCTTGTTCTGGACAAAAGTACTGGATACATTACCGGGGAACTGAGTATATATAACAAGAAAGTAAAATACTGATATCATTAAGTAGTAGCATATGGAGTCTCAGATATATATTGAACAATACTACCCACCACAATCAAGATTGGAGACGAACAGTATCAAGTAAATATGCCAAATAATAGACATCAATGTACGTAGATGAATAAGTTTTCCTTTGAAAAGATAAGTTATAATTTCAAACCCACATTACCGAGAAAAGGGACTACATGGATACAATACACACGTCCAATCTATAAGTCAAAGCCAACGATGTAGCACCGTCTACTGACGAAGGTTACTGAGCTTTTGAAGGTCAATCTGTTGTACAACGATTCGTGCGTCACCTCGACAAATCGCAAGGTTTTGTAGAAGCGGTCAATTCAAGACAACTTCGAATTTGATTTGAATTAAGGTACACTGTCTGGTAACATCCATTCGTCAAGTGATGAAAGTGATGCCATGTGGAAGACCTGCATGCTTTTTTCCAGTGGATGATGGAATTCAGTGTGACAACTGCGATAAGTGGTATCAAAATGTGTGCACTGCACTCACACCGGCTGCATATAAAAAGTTCTGCAAGCCGCTGTCACGTTGGTTATGCAAAGAATGCTGTTCTACAAAGTCCCTGCTGATTCTTGAGGTGATTGAGTTACTGAACATAGCTATAAAATTGCCCTCAGATAAACAAACGGCAGTAGATGAATCAGATTCAGTTTTCAAAGAAATAGCGAGCGTTATCATGAACCCAGCTTTGGATTTGAGTAAGACCATCAAAGTGAACCCCATTAGAGAAACGGTTAAAATACATACAGATGTAGGCATTGTCACGTGAAAAAAGAAAAAGCATGGTGAGAAGAAACTACCTATTGACAGTACTAAGGTATGTGAATCTACGGTTTCAGTTCCGGATTCACATATCAACGCAGAATAGATTATGGGGGAGCAAAGCCTAGGCGGTATGGATGACATAATTAAAAGATATAATAAGGTAAGTGATTAGCTCATAGTCACATCCAGGAAAAGAAAAGTAGGGAAACGGAGTGGGACCTCTGTGCTTGACGCCAAATTGGTCTTCAGGAATTAAAACCCTACAGCGTGTTAAGATGGGCCTCGCTGACATATCAGTCGCTTTTCATGCGTTAAGAGAACCTTCCGAAAGGGAACCAAAAGCTAGATTTGAGCACGACCTCCTGAGAAAAATTTCGCAATATATTGCAGCCCGACTAGCTATGATATTCAATATATCACTTGACCAAAGTGTGTTACCTACAGACTGGAAGGATGCGATCGCCACTCCCATACATAAAATGGGACCATGACGACTTTCATCGAACTATAGACCTGTCAGTCCCACCAGTGTTGTAGTTGAAATACTGGAAAGAATAATCAAAAAGACAATAATGACATTTGTGAAAACCAACAACCTGTTAAACAACGAACAATATGGTTTCGGAAAAGATTCATCCTGCACAATAAACCTCCCAATATCAAGAGAGCAATGGATAAAGGCTCCAGACAACGGAAAATCAGTGGATGTTGTCTACATAGACTTTAGCAAAGCATTTGATAAGGTGCTGTTAAAGCTGGAAAATCTTGTGATTGCTAGAGCTCTACTAAAATGACTTAAGGATTTCGTAGTAGGTCATAGACAGAAAGTAAGAATAAATTCAAATTACACCTCCTGGAAACCAGTACTTAGTGGGGTACCGCAAAATTCTGTCTTAGGTCCTTCACTTTTATACTGTATGTGGATGATCCCTCAAGTATAGTTGAGTCCTAAATGTTGAGATACACTGACGATGTGAAAATCTGGTGAGAAATACCAGGATACACAGATGCATGCACACTTCGGGCAGACTTGCATATTCTGATTAGCTGGTCTAAAACGCGACTGATGCCTATCAACGAGGCACGGTGCGTCTACATGCACTTCGGGGATATAAAAGTTAATAATCACAGCATAGCAGAAGTGCTGTATCCGTGGTCTGGTCTTACAACAATTTTGGGGTGATGGTGAGTCATGATCTTAAGACCACAGTCCATTGCCGGGAGGTTGCAGCTAAGGGGTTTGGAAGCCTACGGGCTTTAATACGGACATTTTTCGTGTCGGTAGGCAACCCTCGTTCTTTTGATAGAAGAAACCAGACTAGTAGTGAAAAGTTCTTCATTTAGATCTTTGTGCAGTCACAGTGGAGAGTGGGATTACCTATTTAAACCCAAAAATGTTTTCAACATTCAACACAAGATAATAGGAAAAATAATGTCTATACAAATTAAGGAAGTGAATGAATACTTGAGCTCTATTGTTTTGACATATACTTGATCGTTCGAAGTCGATTCTTAACTAATAAACTTAAGCTGTTACACATTCACAAAGTTAAATACTACCATACTTACTACGGTATACTCAATCTTAGTGAGAACTGCGTTCAGGCTGCAAGCCCCTGTTTAAAAGGTGACTTGAATATCCTGGAAAAAGTGCGGAGGGCAGCAACCCATGCAATTCCAGAACTCCGGAGTTTACCATACCAAGAGCGACTTGAAAAGCTAGAGCTCTTCACTCAGTCCTATTCCAAGTTAAGAGGTGATTTTATCTTGATGTATAGAATGTAGAACTATGGTCTACTATAATATTAGTGCTGCTCAAATAATAGACCTAATCCTAAAATTGTAGATTTGTCATGATATAACTGCCTAATCTATAAGATCTTACGTGGAAGTCACATCATCGTCTACACCAACTCACTGTATCGTAACAACTACCAATATATGATGAAGAACAAGTTTAGGCTAGAGAAAGAATAATATATTCAATATGAATAAAAGATATAAGGTAATATTCAGCAGGGACCACGCCTGCATGGCCGAGCCATGCCATTCAATCAACTCTCTATCGTTAGGTATTTCTTCGCGTTAAATATTGAATACCTATTTTCCGAGCAATCTCGTATTCAGCTTTGTGGATTGTGTAGTTATTGTCCAATGCCACTACAAGAATACTAAGAAATGATTTTGGACCTAATATATCCTCTCTTTTCCTTCCCACTTGATCGGGACGTCTCAGAGGACATAGCAGGCGTGTAGCAAGGCCTAGAACGAATGAAATACTCGTGGCATACAGGTGTACACAGTGAGTCATCAATTCTTGGAACCTTCTACCCGAAGCAATGGTGTCTGCACCTTCACTTGACTCATTCAAGAGAAGACTAGACACCCACAGAAGCATACTAAAAAGGAATAACATAGGCCATAGACCGTTTATCCTTACTACACGAATCTGAATCTGAACTGTCGCATCTGTAAAACTGTACTAGCTGTCGAAGTGACGCACCAATCTTTTTACGACGGTTTGACCTTCAAGTGTTCAGTACCCTCCAAAAAAATGGACAATGCTACTGGGTTGCTGCTGTGGTTTTACATCGCTCTTAATTGAGAGGCGATATATCTGACGTAAGCATACTAGAACGAATGCAGCGACCGTAAATAGTAATAGGAGCAAAAAATCGAGAAAACACAAATAACGTGAAAAAGTTGTGTTAACATATAAAGCGTCGCACAAGTTACGGAATCTCGAGATTCCATAAGAATGCCGATCAGCACACTTAAGGATTCAGTACTTCAGCAACACAAAAATGCTAGTGTAAAAACAGAATAGAACAAGTCATGCATCAATGCTTACAAAGATTGTAGAAATGATAGTTCCCGCTTAATTCGGACTGATCGACAAGTAGTTTGCCAAAATTACGAGCCGGAGTTAAGGTTATTCCCATTCTGTATTTTGTTGTTGTTGATAATTTTCGCCGATTGCGTTTATTTTTGAATGCAAGTGAATAACATAAACCTAATGGGTTGTTTACTCAGTTCGCTTATGTTTACCTCTCCCAGACTCACACCTTTCTTCTTACTCTTCCCAAAATATAACTTATTTATAGGTTCGATACAAACCTAAAGAAGGCTAAACGTTACGTTTCCGAATGGTTTATAATGAATATACTCTGTAAATAATTTTTCTGACATGGATTAACTTTTAGTTTCATAACGCCAGATCACTACTTCATAAACGCATTAGGGTCGAAAGCCTTCATTATAATTGACAGAGTGTCACAAGAACTTAAAGTTGAATGTTAGTTTCTTTATATTAAGACATATTTTCGTAGTTGAAGAACCGGCCATCCCAAGCGTAGCAAAAAAGCATACAATCTATGGTATATGGGGGGTTGTACGTCTAGTTTCGGGTAGGTTTCAAGTGTTTGCTTCATATCCGTCCAAATTAGGGTTTTATTTGATAGTAATTAAAGAACGTGAGCGAGTCGGTGAGATATTCGGGAACACTATTCTAAAAATAACCAAGAGCGTCATATTACCATTTGCAAGGTCTGTACTTCATTTGACAGATATTCAGGTAAGCGAACTTAGATTTATGTGAATTGGTAGAATCAAGATGAATCTTTATATTGCCAAATGCTTAATAGTATTCTGTCGTCAGAAGGCTTTTACTACTCGAGTACCTATGACTTGAGTCACACATTGCAACGTTTATCGGATACGGACCCAAAATTCAAGGCATCCAGTATTTACGAGCGTGTAAGCATTTCGTTTTTCAATGAAACTTTTAATCAAATGGTGATTGTGTGGTTTAAGCAAATTTTCGGATTTTTTCCGCCGATAATTTATGCTAACATTAAACAATCTTAATTGTCATATTAATTTTTGCTTACCAGTGATAGTTGGTGCAGTTTTTAAATTACGATTGATCAAACAACCCAACTGTATCTTCTAACTTGACGTGATGATGGGACTTGCATATCTTAACGATTCAGCTGATCTATATTAACTGCAACACTTGTCCCTTCAGGTTCTACTATGCGAGGCAGGTCATTTGGAGAACGGTGATACTAAAAACGGCAACTGACGTAGCCATACTGCTGACTGTTCAATGATAAGACAACAGTAGGGTATTTCCCTCAGATAGCCAGCGTCTGTTGTAATAATGCCTTCTCACAATGTAGGAAACGGACTGAAAAAGGTTGATGCTAAAAATGTCATACGTTACCATACCTCACTGATCTCCGTCTTTGCGGTAAGGCGTTTTAAAATATGGGTTTAGAACATCAAAAACCTACCACGGAAACGTCTTGCGTGGCAAGCATCAAGCATTTGTTCCTTGGACTCTGGTAATGCTCACAGTCAATCTCTAATTTAGTCCCACTTTCAGGCACCTCATGAAGAAATATCCACACACGGTGTGGGCGACCTAAAAGTAACAGCCTCTCTCATATATGTAACACCACGCGCCACGTTCACGATGACCTCTCTGTCACTTTCGTATTCCCCCTGTCCCTACAATTAACCTTTATATGGATTTTTCTACATATGCTACCGATGCTAAAGATTCGAGTTCACAAAATGTTGTTTCCGTTCTCTTGAAGTCGCACTTTAAACTACATGTTGCAGTTTCCAATCTTTTAACCTTGTTGAACAGAACAACTGGGTTCGTTAGTTAGGGTTCTAAAATCTCATACTATTGATACATGTTGCGTCTCCAAAACATGAATACGGGACCCTATCATGTTCATACATCTGACCTTACCTAGCCAGTGTATAGAGCCAACACGATATACTTTCTCTGTATCTGGATATGTGGCATCAGCTCGTGATATCGCCGGCGTAGGTATAGCATTAAGTTTTAAAGCTGGACAGCCACTTGACTAGATTTTTTCGATAGCCTCTTATGTTCTGTCCGTCTCAATGGCGCAGGATTATGTTGCGTTTCGTCGTATCTGTATACATCCACTGATTGCAGTTCAAAGGAAGTAAAAGTTGAGCTTTGTAGGCTACTTCCCATCCTCAAAAAGTTAACCGCTCAAATGTAGCATTAGTGATGGGTGATTTTAATGTCTAAGTAATTCAAGCCAAACTGAAAAACACAGATGAGTCTTCTGGCGTCCTAGCCCAATGAATAGATAATGGCAACAGTCTTCTGTAGTTGTGCTTTAATAACCGATCATTCTTGACAAGCTCCAACTTTGAGCATAAGGAAAAACATCTGACATGAAAACTACCGGAATTAACTCAACGATAGACGCTAATAAACCATATCAGTATCAGTCGTCGTTAGAGAGGCTCGGTAAAAGACTGAAGTACATGTCTAGACTTTGATCATGCTCTAGTGCAAGAACGCGTTTGCATGTAGCTTCCTGGATGCAGAGAGTCTAAGCCAAGGGAGAATGGTGAAAGACTGGTAGATATGTTTACTTTGAGTCGTGCTCATAGGTGGCGGCATTCTTCCCACAAAGGCATGCACAGAACTACATGGGTTTCACATGGCCATACTACGGAGAACCAGATCGATCACATGCACAAGTAGACGATTCGGAAGTTCTATGGAAGATGTAAGAACATGGTGAGGAGCGGATGTGCCGTTAGATTACCATCCACGGGTGGCAAAGCCAAAACTGAAGCTAATGAAGCATTACACAACTGCACTAGCAACACACTTCCTTGGAGATGCTAACAAGATCAGTTATTTCAAGATATCTCTCAACAGCGAGCTGTAAGTCATAAAATCTACTAGATAAAGCGGAAACCACAAAATCGGGGAAGTATAAGGCATAGGTTGGACATAAAGCAGCAAAAAAACCCAGTGAAAAGGAGCGTTAGCACTATTATGTGCACATATGTTGGAGATGTGGCAGCTGCGACAAAAAAGGCTACAAGAGAGACAAACATAAAGGAACTATATAATGCAACCAGATTACAGGAAAATGTAGTTGGCACGAGGGACCAATCAGAAACAAAGAGTCAGAATCAATCACTGAAGTTCAAGAGCAGTAGGACAGGTGGGTAGGAAGTTTTGAGGAGTAACAGTTGCGGAAGAGGGTCTAGAACAGCTATTTGAAGATTCATTGTTGGCAGTGTATGCCCCAATAGGAGTAACAGGCTTAAGGAAGGTATAATGTATTACACGATTTAGCGCTAACATCATGTCCTAAACCATACTTAATCACCATTGGTTTGAGATCAGGGTTTTCCACACCCTTCAGATGGATCCCCCGTATCCACCAACTCAGTTTGGGCACCTAACATTCACTTCTTATCCTCTTACTTTCGTAAACAACACCCTCACTATCAGATAATGAGCAGGACTTTCCTGGCAGCGGTTGTAAACATTGCTATATGAAAGAAGAAAAAAAGAGCAGCCAATCCATTATCGGTCCATCCACTAACTAGGGGAGTGTTCTAGTTTCTTATATAATGTGTATGTTTTATTTGTATTTCTAAAGTCACTTTGGTAATTTATCTGGTTGGTGGTAAATGTTTCATGCTTCGTGATCATTCTATGCATAAAATGCCTTTTTGTGGGTACATACTCAGGGCAGATGTTTTGGGTTTGACTGTTTGAAATGTCATTATAATATAACGTGTTTAGGTATTGTTGGATGTAATTTGAACAACATATAAGCGGACAGTATTGTTTTCAGACTTAACTCCATCAGACATCAATATTTATATGGATATATAGAAATATTAAATCAATGAAGGCAATCTATGAGTCAGCGATAACAATGAAATAGATCACACAAGTAAACAACAAGTAAAAATGCAAATTGATAATGTGATGACAGATGTACTAGTTGTGATAAGAAAAATAAAGTCTTGAATTAATTTAGTGAAAAGTAGCTTAACGACTCGTTAACTTCATCTCGTACAATGTAGTATGGTAATTTAGGCCAACTCACATTTGTCTCCAGCTTCGGTTCGGGCACTCGGGCAGAGTGTCCCAGCCCTCACATAAATCAAATGATTTATGTGGCGCATATCTATTTGGTGCCTCCTTGTACATGTTGATTATAAATGATATAAAGTATTATTGGTTTGGTTTTTCATTTTTACGGACTGATATTCTTATATAAGCTCTTATCTTAATGGGATTTTTAATTCGTTTTCCCTGAACTTTTAATATACTCATATAGGCAGATACACGGTTTACGTGGAATAAATCTCTGTTGAATGAATGGGAATCTATGCTTAATTCTACATCATCCTTCAAGCATAAGCAAACAACCGGTTGGAATCGCTTCGATTACTGTGTACCTATCATTCAAGGATATGTTGGGATAATATCATATCCAGAAAATTTGTCTGACACTCTTAAGGGAAACCTCATGTATTCCCTCATCTCTCGTCGTAGTATACATCGAACTGGAACAAGATTCAACGCACGTGGAGTTGACGGGGAAGGGAACTGTGCGAATACTGTAGAAACAGAACAATTGGTCGATATTTCGGGGCATAGGTTTTCTTTTGTTCAGGTTTGTAGGATTTGGTAATAATCTATTTACCGTATGTTTTGGCCTTTCATGTTGTTAAAACATGAAAGAAAAACTGAGATTCATTTTTATTGATCAGTCGTTTTCACCATTAGTATGTTATAACTTCATAACATTTTTTGATATAGTAGGATCAAGTGGCGATGATAAACCAGCCAGCTCTACCATGGAGGCACTAAAGATGTACCACGTTGAGATAAGCCACTCTGGTTTCCACTATACGCCACCGTCAGCACTCACACAACAATCCAAATGCACAGACTTTTCGATTACTTCTAATGGCTCACCACATAAAGTAGATTCAGATACAGACTCATCCAAGTTTCGTAAAAGTACATTGCGTTTAGAAGATAAAAAGTACGTGCCATACCTTACAGACACTGAGTGTCGACTGATTAAGTGTTAGTTGGTATAGCTTGAGTATCATCATACAGTATGAAAACATCATGTGCATACCCAAGGCCGAAGAGCTTTTCCCCAAGTCATAGATCTTGGTCTGGTCAGTACAAGCGCTTTTACAAAGTACTTCTACCATGGCATTGTGAAACAATCAATTGAATGGAATTCATCACTCTACATCAACTTCATTGAATAAGAGAAAGCATTTGATAGCGTGGACAGAACAACACTATGGAAACTTCTTCGACACTACGGCGTGCCTCAGAAGATAGTCAATATCATACAGAACTCATATGATGGATTACACTGCAAAATTGTGCATGGAGGACAGTTGACAAAGTCGTTCGAAGTGAAGACTGGTGTTAGGCAAGGTTGCTTACTCTCACCCTTTCTTTTTCTCCTGGTGATCGACTGGATCATGAAGACGTCAACGTCTGAAGGGAAGCGCGGGATACAATATACATCTAAGATGCAGTTGGATGATCTAGACTTCGCAGACGATCTGGCCCTTCTATCCCAAACGCAACAACAGATGCAGGAGAAGACGAACAGTGTGGCAGCAGCAATAGGTCTCAATATACACAAAAGGAAAAGCAGGATTCTCCGATACAACACAGAATGCACCAATCCAATCACAATTGACGGAGAAGATTTGGAAGATGTAAAAACCTTTACGTATTTGGGCAGCATCATTGATAAACAGGGTGGATCTGCTGCAAATGTGAAGGCGCGGATCGGCAAAGCAAGAGCAGAATATTTACAACTGAAGAACATCTGGAGCTCAAAGCAACTGTCAACCAACACCAAGGTCAGGATTTTCAATACAAATGTCAAGACAGTTCTACTGTATGGGGCAGAAACCTGGAGAACTACAAAAGCCATCATCCAGAAAATACAGGTGTTTATTAACAATTGTCTACGCAAAATACTTCAGATCCACTGGCCGGACACTATTAGCAACAACGTACTGTGGGAGAGAACAAACCAGATCCCAGTGGAGGAAGAAATCAAGAAGAAGCGCTGGAAGTGGATAGGACACAAATTGAGGAAAGCACCCAACTGCGTCACAAGACAAGCCCTCACATGGAATCCTGAAGGTCAAAGGAAAAGAGGAAGACCAAAGAACACATTACGCCGAGAAATGGAGATAGACATGAGAAAAATGAACAAGAATTGGATGGAACTAGAAAAGAAGGCCCAGGACAGAGTGGGTTGGAGAATGCTGGTCAGCGGCCTATGCTTCATTGGGAGTAACAGGCGTAAGTAAGTAAATATGTCTACCATGGCAAATACAGGACTTCAGAACAAGTGACGAGGTATGTGTGGAACATGCTCCAACCAGCTCAGTTGCCGAGGTCCTACAGACCAATCAACGAACATACTATCTCTTCATGGTGACCTACACATCACTTCATCATTGTTTACATAATAGGTCCGCCGTACGCAAACAACTCTTAAGATCCCAGCGACCATACAGAAAATAACCCAAAAGAGACGATAGTGGAGAGTCTTCTTTCTCTCTCGTAACGCTCTTAAATGGTCATGTGTTTCTAGATACCTCTAGGGAAAGTAATGTAATTTTGTGTCGACGTTCATGAGCACAAAAACTGTACGGTAACTTAATTTCTACATAAAACATTGTTTTCAGTTTGAGTGACGCACGATTATCACTCTCTCTTAATAATTGAGATGGCTTAGTGTCAGTACTTTATGTTGACATTTTACAATTAATTATACTGAGTTTTAAATTAAACTATCGTCAAGTGCAGATTTTTTAAAATCAAATTATAGCCTCCATGACTACTGTTTGATTATAATTTACCGACATTACTAATAAGCTTTTACTGTGTTAAATGAGTTTGATTCTGTAATCGGATTTCGGTAGGCTTATTCACAAAAAGTGGTTAAAATCTCGGAAATTAACTAAGACTTTCCTCATTGTAGCTTAGCATATTGGTCTATAGAGTTCAAATTAAGTTACTGCCGTTTTAATTCCTATTACTAAGAATAGAAGTTCAACTTTTTAGTATATTGTTACGTCTTTGATCTGTCTACCCATTTTGTGCAGAGGATAACTTGTCTAATCTAGATTAAGACCTTGACGCGATAGGCTAACTGGCTTAAACTTGAGGCTAGTATGCGTGAGTTCGAAATGGGTGAGAGAGACGAAAACTATTCTATCACCTGATTGATTGGCTGACAAGCACGCGAGTGAGAGAAGATAAGCCGACTGGAACACTACTCGATCTATTCCCGATTTCAGATCAGTGTTAAAAGGTACATGAATAAATGGATGACTAACCCGACCACAACGTACAATAATTAGGAAAATACAAAAACTGGGGATTAGCGTAGAAAATAGAGTACAAAATAATACGTTTAAATTACAATAGCTTTAGAACAAAAAGGGCTATGGCAGTGAATCATGCATCAAACGAAAGCTTATGGTCTGTAGAATAGACTATGGACAAAAATAAATGTTAATGTTTTACAAGCCTTGAATTAACTAAAATAACGTCCCGAAAAATAGCTTTCGTAATTTGTCAAGGCTTCTTGTTTCTCTGTTCACATCATATATGTATACTACTATTATTACGGCAAATCGATTCTGCCTTATTGTATTATTTATATGTTTTATATTTTCACACGCTTATTTATCTTTCCCATCCATCATAATTTAAAATAACCAAACCGAAGCTTCGTGGTTCTGTGCCAATATATTGGAGTCAACGACCGAACTTAAGATATAAACCAGCTGTTTTACTAGGTGGTAGTCAACTATCTTCCAGTATAACACACTCGGCTAACTTAACCGTTAATGAGACTGAGAAGAATTTGGAGGCAATTCAAGCTAACATTGCACGCCAACATTTTCATAGTTTAATATACGATTATGGTTACGGACGACAAACAATAATAAATTTATTAGATCAGAAAGGGATGGAACGTAATTTAGGACATGCTTATGCTATGGCCGTCTCAGCTTTAGATGAAAAAGAAGTCAAGTAAGAATAACTTGTATGCAATTATTCATCTTTAAATTTTCCAAAACAGTCTTCGTCACAAACTGAAGTCTGTTGTGGAGAAACTCTGTCTGAGTTTCTTTTGAGTTTGGTATCAGTCTGTTGTACACATTCCTAACATTATCGACCGTTTTTATTGAGTAGATTGGTCATTAAGCCAGAATTTAGTGATCATTATTTTTTAAATCCAACCTAATCAAATGTTGTTTCGGCAGCGCCGGTGATTATATGGTGCCAATCCAAACCTGATTAACTTCATGAATAATTACTTCTCTTTAGAACTACAGAGAATTGTCTGTGAATACATTCAGTAACAAATAGCAATAGTGCTGTGATGTATGTCACTAAAATAAGTAAACATTTAACAAATCCGATATAGTTTGATATACTAACGATGTTAATCCGTTTCATTTTGAAGCAACTATTCTGCTTTAATCAACAGTGTGCATACCAATTTACATTACAGTTTCTCGTTTATTCATTTTGCAACTGATAATATATATTTAAGACAATTATTCCCTCTGATAAATTTGTTTAATGTGATAATTTACTTATCGAGAATCTCAAACTAGTAAATCAATACTTGCCATTTCTTAATCAATTCGACCGCTTTCGAGCCCTGGTATTAAATAAATAAATCCAACTATTTTAATTTTCTAAATGTCTTTTGAACTTAAACCACTCGAATAAATATTATTTATCTGGAATTCCTCTCGGTAAGTGCAAACAATAACATACATGCATACAACATACTTATTTACTTACTTCACTTGCTCTGGTTGTCATCATGTGTATAGTTTGTTGTTAGAATAAAGCCGGTTGTGTTTATTATCCCTTTGTTAAGTATGTAATAACTATCTTTTACTCTTCACAGCTGGTAAGTCCGTGGTGTGAAGCAACCAGTGCTGTCGGGTTGGCGTTCGAATCTTTATGGTTGTGGGAAAATGACTTTCGTGGGTGGGAGATCGTTGGTAGTAGTTTGATAGTATTTGTTCATAGGGATCGTCAAACCATACGTGGCGCTTTCTGTATTTTATTGAATATTCATGATCAAAAAATACAATACTATTCACTAAGTCAACTAGTTTTGTGCTAAATTACTTTTAGTTTGACTAGACTACCAAATCCTTTTGTCCAAAATATTTAGACATAATAGCTGTTAATTTACAAGCGTTTTTATAAATTGGTAATATTTCTAACTTGTGTGGACTCTTTCATTATGAATCATGCGAAAATAATCATATTTGAAACTTATAGCCATCAACTGATGTATTGGAATTCATTTTCCTGCAATATTTTATAGTTTGTTTTTTATTCTTTTTACTACGAAAGATATGAAAGTTTTGATTTTCATCATGAATGTGGTTCAACTCGTTGGGATCGACTGGGTATCTTGTTAGAACACCTTATACCAGAATTATTGAGATCAAAGTGAGTCATTGTTTGCTCCTTTTTACTTTCAAAATCACTGTGTATTTAATTCCTCACTGTTAAGTTACCAACCAAAATTATATTTCATATATCCACCCTCAATGGTTTGATTAGTGTTGTTAGATGTATTATTCTTAAACAGTACTTTATTGCCCCTTTATACAAATATTTACCTAGGTATTAATTTGCCTTTCCTATCCAGTAGATTTTTCTCGTATCCTTATTGACATCTAGTCGTTAAAATGAATGTAGGTTAAAAGATCTATCATGTGGTGGTTTCAAAGTATTATGGTTTTATCATCTCACTAAGAGAGGCTGCTCAGAAAAGAACAGGTGATAGATAAATCGGTTCACAATAGTAAGGGAGCAAGCAAAATGGCAACCATTGAAAAGGCTCATATTAATAAAGGCGAACATTGAAGAGGGGAATTACATTATCAATTGTGTAAAATATGTTCGATTCACCCTTTGTTGTGGAAGGCCTTCCTAAAACGAACGGTCTGGTGGTGAGGTGCCAACTTATTGATAACGGTTATCCAGGTTAGTGGAAATTTGTTGACGCTCTGAAAAATAATAACAGTGTAAATGGATTAAAAATTGAACAGACTGTTGCAGAAATCCATTAACAGTAATGGTCGTTAAATATTAAGAGAAAGGATCGATACTAGACTATTTATATGTAGTAGCACATCATTTGAATATGAATATCCAAACGTGGTAAACTTTTTAAAGAAAATTTGATGTATGTAACATTTACAGCTATATTACATTGATCTTCCCCCCTTTTGATGTATTATACACAGTCAGTTAGTATATTGCCGAGATTATTCAATCGTGGTGATAGGTCGCCCTTGTAGGCTAAGTTGTTAACGTGTTGTCCTGTCGTGCTCCGAATTTTAAATGTCTGTGTCGCTCGCTTACGTACGTCTATTACCACTCTTAGTCTGTCGAAGAATATAGAGAATAGTAAACAATTTCACGGATTGACATGAGATCGCGTAACGACTTAGAAGTAGAAAAAAAGATAAAATCAAATATGTGAAAGATAGTTATCTACTTAAAGAGCATGAGAAAGATGAATAAATTTGAAACGTGAATATGGTTGCAACGATACAAACACCACTGGCGGGGTGGGGGCTTACGGTCACCTCTCTCCATTGTTCTAACCCAGAAGCGGGGCTAGGTAGGGTTGCCAAATCTAACCATTCCTTTTCAACCTTGCCATCAATGATGGTCTGAAATCAACTTTGATGGATGTGGGTAATGGTGGTGTCAATCTGTTGTCTGGAGAAGGACTCTTCAACCTTGAGTGTCCGGATGATATTGTCCTACTGTGTGATGGTACCTAAGTGATGCGATCTGCACTTAATCAGCTGGCAACCAGTGTCCGTGGGTATGGCATTTGCTTTGCACCTTGGCAGTGCAAAGTACTTTTACAAGACTCTCAAGATCCTAAACCTGAACTCACTCTTGGTAGGAAGCAAATATGAGTAGTCGAGAAGTTCGTGTATTTGGGTAGCTCAGTGAGTGCTGTTGGTGGCGTGAGTGATGTGATCAACTCACGTATATTGTAAGCTAGAGCGACTTATGCCAATTTAGGCCATCTTTGGCACCTTCGTGACGTTAGTCTCGCTGTAAAAGATCAGGTTTTTAATGCGTCGGTGAAAGCAGTATTGCTATATGTTTTTGAAAAATGGTCTCTTCGAATTGGAGATGTTAGGCGATTCTCTGCGTCGGATCATCGTTGTCTACGACTGACTATTGGAATTCAGTGGAAACACCATGTTCTTAATAATGCAGAGGTTTGGCAGCGTGTGTTTGGTCACATTGAAGATAATTCGGTTGCTGTCACCATCTTGAAACATTGACTCTGGTGGCTTGGACATGTGCAAAGAATGTCTTTCCATAGTGACTTCCACACTGTAATCTTTTTGCTGACTCTCGGACTGACTGGAGAGGCAATTAGTTTATGACATGATCTCGAGGTATGAAAGAAATCTGTACAGGATCAGATTTTCTTGGTTCCTTACGACTATCTTGTTGTGGTCCCCGAGATGGTGCAACATATAGGGTTGGAACATTACCAGAAATGGCTCAGAATCGAAGCCAGTGGTGATCCTGCTGTAACTTTGGCTTCCTTCATAAAAGTGGGAGCAGCTTCTTTAACTGAAAAATATCCCTTCTGGTTGCATTTTGCTTAACTGAACTGCTTCTCCCATCATTATTTCACTCACATACACCAATATCTATACATAGTTTTTCTTGTTTTTGTTATATTCACTTTCCTTCCTCTATCTCTTCACGACCTCATTTTTGTTGTATCGTGCATATATATTTTGGCTTCCCTTGTACCAATGTTTAACATTAATACTTAAGTCCATCGACTTCATGTAATGTGTTAAGCTTAAATTTATATCATAAAAACCTAAACAGGTACCATCTTAATAAATATATGGACTTCTGATGACCAAACAGATATTCAAGAAATAATTGTATGCATATAATCTTCAGAATGTATTTTAGTTGCGTAAACAATAGTTGACTAATTAATTATAATTTGTACAGTTCTTATCAGTACTACCTTGTAACTATTTAGAGTTCAACAGTTGGATAGCGTTTAAAGCTATATATGTATGCAATAACAGAAAGTCGAGTAAACAAATATAGACTTGAAGGTGTTATTTATCAGGAATTGATCCCATTCAGGGTACCAAATCGTGATGAATACCGTCTTCAAATAAAACTAGTTTCCATATAAGCTGTCAGAAAAATAGTATAATTGTAGTCATCAGTCCAGACGTTTAGAACGGTGAGCGGAACAGCTTAGCTGGCCTTCAACTACTCGACAGTTACCCACTCTTCCCAAACATCCTGAACAAAACATTGGGATAGCCGCCCCCCGACTCTAATTGAAGTTCGAAAAGCTATAGCTAATCTGAAACGAGTAAGAGCAGCTAGTCCAGATCGATTGGCTTCAGAAGTCTTTAAGGATGGTTAGTCCAGTTTTAGAGATTAGGTCGACTAATATTTTAGCTACAATCTGGGAGTTTGGACGTAATCCCATCTGACTGGTCACAATCACTGATTGTCCCAATATATGAGTAGGGTTCAAAATCATCCTGTGATCATAGATTATTTTGAGTAATACAGCGTCTAAAATACTAGCATAAATAATTATCGGTCGCCTATCTAAGACTCGTGTACTTCAAACACGAGAAAATCAGGCTGGCTTCAGACCTGATCGTGGCTGCATCGATAACATATTCACTATTCGTCAGGTTTTAGAACACAGACATACTTATCGGCTTCCGACAATGATAGTTTTTCTTGACCTAAAAACAGCATTTGGTTCGGTAGGCCGAAAGGTTCTGTGGCAGTGTCTGTCATTGAACGGTGTACCTCAGAGGCGCACAAACCTTGTGAAGGCTCTTTACTCGAACACTACCAGTCGAGTTAGAGCTTATGGTGGACTGTCATCTGATTTTGTAACCTCAAATGGTGTTCGCCAAGGCTTTCCACTATTTCCATTTCTGTCCAGTTTTATCATAGATTTACTTCTGGAAATAACCTCGTCGTCTGGATTTTCAGGAATTTATCTCCTACCAGGAGATTCACTTATTGACTTAGAATATGCATATGACATAGACTTGTTTAGTGAAGACGCTGATAAAATGCAGAGTCTTATGGTAGCACTGATCAACAATGCCAGGATGACCCACGAATGCCCTGGTACGACCGAGAGTGGGGAAATTCCGCTCTCCCTCCCAAAATACTCACGCATGGCCACGCGTATACAGCCACTGTCAGGAAAGTCCTACTCAATACCTTCTCGTGGCGGGGTGTTTACGAAATTGTGAGGACAAAAGTGAATGTTCGGCGCTTTAAACGGGTTGGCGGACACGGAGAGTTCACCTAGAGAAATTGGAAAACCCTGATTCCAAACCAATGGTGCACATGGGCTCCAGGATCGTAAAGGAACAAATGGCGTATGAACCAATCGTTGGTCAGCGGCTACCATGGGACTACATTTCCTGATGTTACTCCACTGACTTGTGGACCAGACCTTTAGCTTGAAGGCTCGGAGTGTAATCCCATAAGAAAACCACCTGCTTCGGTCTGGGTAACCGGAAAGTATCACAACCAACACATAAATCAAGTGACTTGTGTGTATTCGGTGCCCCTTAGTACTAATATTTATGTGTTCAAATAAATAAATAAAATAATTATGCCAGGTTGTTTGGAATGTGTTTCTCCCCCTCTAAATACAAGTTGTTGCTTCAGGACCGGCCTGCGTCAGCACCTGAACTAAAGATAGGGAGCGAAGCAGTCGAACGCGTTGACAACTTCACTTATCTTGAAAGCCCTAATGGGTTGGTGTCTGACGAAATTTCTGCACGGATTCAAAAAGCTCGTTTGGCTTTTGTCAAATTAAGTCACCTATGGCGAAGGAGAGATATCTGTCTATGAATTAAAGGACGGGTCTACTGAGCGACAGTTCGTTTTGTTCTAATTTACGGCTGCGAAATGTGACCATTAAGAGTAGAAAATACTCTCAGGCTACTTGTATTTGACCACAGCTGCTCACATCTGCGGGGATTACCGAGTAAGTAATAATGAGATTGGATGCAGGGTATTAGGGAATGATAGTAAATCAATTGATGAGCTTGTAAATCTTCGTCGAATGAGATGGTTGGGCTACGTGCTGCGTATACCTGAACTCCGATTACCACGACGCCCAATGCTGACAAGTGTTGGGTTTGGTTGGAAGAAAATTAGGGGCGGCCAAACCAAAACGCGGCATCAACCCATGAAGTCACTAATTTCTAGTCTGAGCCATGTTGGTAGATTCAGACCACTTGGTTAGGGTCTGCGTGGCTATCGCAATAGTTGTTTGGAGACTCTGGAAGACATGACTCAGAATCGGTCACAATGGCGTCGGTGTATACACTCTTTGTCTTCCTTTAAACCGTGAGACTAAAATTACTTTGTCTTTCTACGAACTAATTTTTTCTCCCTGCATATCTTTATATGCAACCTTTTTCTATATATTACTACCATTGAAGTGACTACTTCCATGACATTGGTGTCCATCTCATTGTGCTAATGAGGTTTGGCAACTTGGACCGATGCATATATGTACCTGGTTCTACGTTAGTTTAAAATCTCACAAACTTATGGCGTAGCCTAAAGTTGAGTAAATAAATTTCTTTTTAAATTCTAAGTTTTCTTAATTCAATCGTATGAAAAAAATGTACTCATCGTTTTTTAAATATAGCCTTTTCTTATCGTCTTTGTAAATCGAACCTTGGTAAATTAATAGAAAGAATAATGGTATTGGGGACATTTGATCATTGGTAAGTAGCATCTAGCCCAATGTAACGAATTCGAATGTTATTCTGTGTGTCACTATTTTGAAGTTTTGTTCCTTTATAGACTTAGGTTATATGACCATTTTGCCTGAAAGACTGTTGACTAAGAGTATTTTGAAAACTGTATAGATCAGCGCTATCGGTTTTTGTAATTTTAGTGATGAAACGATACTATTTAAGTTTATCACTTCCATTTTTTAGACAACTACATATAGATATGAATAACTCTGCAACAATTATTACTCGTCAAACTGGAACATTTCGTTCAAACTGTATTGATTGCTTGGACAGAACAAATGTGATCCAATCTATGCTTAGTTGGTGTGCATTAGAACAAGCAATGATTGAGATTGGTATATTGCAAGGTACAGTTTCTCGAACAGCCGATGCTAGTACTACATCACCTCTATCTCATTTGTGGCCAGGTTTTGGGTTTCGTTTTAAATCGATTTGGGCTAACAATGCAGATTACTGTTCTCTTCAATATGCAGGTACACCAGCCTTGAAAACAGATTTCACTAGAACAGGTAAATTTTGTTTTAGAGCAAATAAGACTTACAAGGTTTGAATTCATATTGACTTTGAAGTAAGTGTTCCTTCAAGTAATATATAGGTACTTATGTAATGTAAAAGTGTTTTTTATTTTTAACTGTGTTGAAGAACCATTAGTGGTTATAGCTTACGAAACAGTTGTTCTTAGTGCTACTATGTACTCAGTGGTTTCTCAGTAGAAGCGGTTGTCTAGTGGTTAAAACACACTTTCCACTATTAATTAAAAATGGAGTGAGATGTTGAACATCGTCATCTCAATGAAGTTGATTTTCACAGCCGCACCATAGTACTTTAACTAAACTCACCTAACATTTGTACCAAGTATAACCCAAACACATTACTCTGACTTTAGGTAAGGAATACATTTCTTAGAGGTCTTTTTTTAAAACATCTTCGATGGCAAATATAGAGGGAAATGGCGACTTTGAGCAACGCTATTTAACAATTACTAGTTTGAAACAAAGGTTATAAGTGGTTCCGTGCCCATATTCGACCTTAGGCGTTTCATGTTCTCTTCCCAAGATGCTAGTAAGCTTCTGGGAATACTCCCCTCTAATACAAAATTGCAGAAAACACTACTGTCCAATAAATCGAAGACAGACTTGGTGTTAAAGATTATTATCACTGTTGGTCAGTGTTCAGGCAGCTGGCGCAATGTAAGGATACTACTAGGACATCTACAACCTATCTGGTGCTTACGAGTCAATTCCATGCAAGAATTGCTTCATTACAGATTGATGAAACCTGCAATTTGTCATTGTTTTTAAACAACGTACTAGAATGTAATCCTCATCCTTAAAATTGTGAGTTTGAGTCTACTTAACTGAACGTTTTGTAACTATGGTAAATAAAATTCCTTTCGTACCTCTGCTTTAATTATATCATATTAAGCTAAACAAATGATGTAACAACAATAAATGGCGATTGAACTTCACATCAATTAGTCAGTGAGTAGTCACTGATTTCATGGCTAGTCTATAGTGCTGGTCGAATTATTTGAGTCAAGTTCGGATGAGGCGATCATGTGAAGAGTTCAGTAATAAGATTTTCGACTGTGATACCGAGCGACATGATTCCAACCCTATAAAGGATTATCAGTTCTCTCAATATTTTTTTTGTAGTTAAGTTCTACTTTGCACAAAAACTAGGTCGATGACTAGCTACTATTTGTCTCCAGTCACGTAATATCAATATCCATAAAATTTATTCGCTATTTAAGGTTTTTTCTTTATTAAAAAAATAGGTAAAAGAACATTCTATGGTATACTGATGGATGGTTATTATTCAATAATTCGTTATTATTTAAATAATTTCAACGATGGCTTCCGTCAAGATTCAATGCATTTACTTCTTGGCCAATATAAAGTGATTGATGTTAATGGGAATCTTAAGCCATTACATGGACCAGGTGGACCTCCTAGACGTCGCCTAAAAAATTCTGATTCTGAATGGTTTACACAGTTTCTACCACTAGTATTTAGTTTTACCTTAGCTATGTCTGTATTGTGTTGTATCTTTCCTACAGGTAGGCGTTTAACATACTCTGTATTTGATAATTATAATAATGTTGGGTTAAACTATAATTTACGGACGACCTTTGAGCGATGCTTAAGTAACCTCGATAGTGTCCACCTACTTGAGTTTAATGAGGGTTGTGAATTGATGTGAGGAATTAGGATTCACAGTTGGGCGTTAGGATTAGTCTTCATCACGAACTGGAATCATATATAATGCCAAGATGCTATTTAGCCATATGGACGAGTGAATTTCGCGCCAAAATCCAAGATCTGCTGTCTTAAACCTGATTGGTCCATCCGTAAATTACAGTCTCGCCTAATTTTGCTGTGTAACTGGTCGGAATTTCACACTACATTGCATTTTATCCATAGTGACATGACAATAACAGAACTGTATAGTTGAGTAATTACAAAATCAACTTTTAAGATTTTTCTTCACTAGTTATTTTCAACAGTCAAGTTCAATTTCTCATGCACTGACCATAGTAAGTTAACAGAATGTTAAGACAAAACTTTATAAGATATCACTGCCTAATACCAGATGAATTGACTTACAGTATGTAGGTAGATAGGTTGACCATGAGATGGACGTACGAATGATGACCGTGGCCAGGTGAATAATGCCCTTACTCATTATGAGTCATTGTATTTGTCTTATCATTCAGCCTTAAGATATAATGTGACCTGGTTTCCTTGCTTAATCAATACTGTGTTCAAATCTCTCTGGTAACAGTGACCTTTTAATAAATAGTAACTTCCGGCTGATAAATCCCATACTTGAAAAAAAACTTTATTACTCCCTACATCCCGTATTATCCAAGGTTTACATCAGTGCAGTTATGGCGATGACTGGGCACCCTCATCTGTTGAACTACAGGTTGATAATATTTCACAGCACTTCTAGCTGTTCACATTTTGTAGATATTCTCAGGTTTACAATTTCATATGGTTATTGAAATAATTTTAAGAATCATCGGTGTATTTAAAAGCAGAGGTGTTACATTGAGTCTGAATTATTGTAAGCGGCGTGAGATATTGTGAATATTAGGTGGGATAGTTAAGAACCAATTTGTTTAAATAGTTTACAGTTTTTTTAAACTTTATTATTATTAAAACATGTATTTAAATAGCATGTTTCTCATGTTTAGCTCCTCATTGCAGTTAACAATAGCCCTAATGAGTTGGTTAATTTCAGCTTTCTTTGTGTACATATATGAGGTATGGCAACGTAAACCTATGCATACTTACTTCAGGTCTTGTATTGCCTGTGATGGACTATCTAACCTGAAACAATGTTGATGCTGTAAAGGTTGTATTTCGTACAAAATTTCCGAAAAAAAATCCATCCTATAGTTCCTTATTTGGTTTATATCTATTTTCAGCTCATTGGACAGAGAAAGCAACTTACGTACTATTCTGGGGTGGAGCTTCAGTTCTTTCTGCTTTAGCAATATTTGCCTACGGTGATGATTTTGTTGACCATCCTCGATTTTGTCCAGACTAAAGAGGATTTTCCAAATCAATTCTGACGATAAAACCCATGAATCCGTAATAATTTCGTTAATTGAAGAATGTAATGCTTGCTCGATAAAACTACATATTGACAAACATCTTTGTATTTTAATAGGAATATATGTTCGTTTGGTCGACTAACAAGGACATATCTTTTCTGTCTTCTTTCTTTCTTGTGCTAAAAAGGAATCTTTTTATATTAGTAGTGATTACAATGTCTTTCTTCTGGGTGTTTTCTTTTTCTCTTCATATTTCGAGTTAAGTTTGATCTCGTGAAATATTTCGAATGCTTAAACTAATCAAATCATTGCCATCTGAACTTGAATAAACCAATCCACCTTTAAAATGTCACTGCCTAGAAAATTGTACAAAATTTTCGTTACTTTTTCAGCCGATGTTTCAGTACGTAAATGCGAAAACCTGCCTCGATCATCAATCCTCATAAAAATTAATGAATAACAGACTTTTCACTGTCTAAATAATTGATTCCAGTGTACCATTGCAACTTCTTTGTAGTTAAATGAAGTAAGATTGTCTTTCTACTGGAACCGGTAAAAAACATCTCGGTTGTCCGAGGCTCTTTAGTGTAGCATCAAGATCATGAGATATAAACCGTGTCTGCAATCCTACCTGGAAAACTGTTCGTAATGTCTAGAATAACACTTAAATCGTGGATCTCAATAGTAGTTAAACAAGTAGTGTAACTTGTGTTTAATGTTGCTTACTCTAAATTGGGTATCCCGAAGCTCTTTGGAAGCTAGTGTTAAAGAATTTGATAAGAAACAGTTACCCAAATATAACGCCAGTATGTTGCGCTGTACAATGAATTGGATGCAGTCAGATTATGAGCTGATGGATGGTTCGTACCAGCTACCGATCTTAGGCAAAATGCCATAGATCGCCAGTGCATACTTCTAAGGAGTGCCGAAGCAGTTTGAAAAATCTAAAGCATTCGCTTTAAAAGTTCTTTGACTGAGACCAGCCTATGATAAACTGCACAATCGTGAGCTCATTGTTGACTAAAGTCGCGGCAATATATATCATAAATAGGCTGTATTCATGAAAAGTATGCGATAGGACCCCGCTTGGTGACCATTGAAATACTAATTATCCATACTAGTTGGTCCGTATCATTCTCATTAGATTCGCTTACCGAATTATGGGTTTGTATAATAGGCTTTGAGTTATACTGTTTGTGTGAAAGCTAAACAGCTTAAACGTTAACTGATCACCTCCACATAGACAAAAATATTTGAAAGGTTGCACAATAACTGTATTTGATGACAGTGCTCATTTTATTTGTTTATATATACTGAATCAAAAATATCCATATATTCACAATTATATGTTGATTTCATGTAAGAAATTACTTTCCAGATTCGTAAAAATAATCAAATTAGGTAAAGAATTTCACATTCGGAAAAAGGGAAGTATGCAACATTGAAATCCTTTTAATTATGATAGACATAAAGTGTAGTTGAAAAAAATGAATGAAGCTAATAATTATAATATTTTTCAGAAACGAGCAACTTGCACTTCGCAATCGAATTACAGAGTGGATAAATTGTTCTGAAATTCCTAGTCCCAACTGCACCAACGACAGTCACTACTAATTGGCTGAACTGTCTGTGTGATTTTTTGATAGAGGATAATTGATGATAAAAGGGAATATTTTTCATTTTACAAATAATAATTGATGATTTTTTATTCAGAAAAAAATTACGCAGAGAGAGAGAGGGGTAATAATAGAATTATTCTTAACACAAATCTCAATCAAAAAAAATAATAAATCAGCATATTAACAATTTGAAATAAACAAACCAAGTGTTTAGAATAAAATATTACATAAGAAAAGGAGAAAACCAAATACAAATCATTGTATTCATTTTATTTATATTTATACGAGCCTGTTTGTTTAGATATATCATTGTATATTTCTGTTGTTATTGTCGGTGTTAAAGGCATGCTGTAAAACAAGAGGATATAAATATATATGCTGATTCTGACAAATGATGGTCGATGTTTATGGACGAAGTCGAACTCGTGTCTATAAAATAAGTCCTCATAAGCACACCAGTAACTAACGTGTAGTTCATTTAGTTTTATTGACAATTCGACTTTTTAAGAGCTATTATTATGATTTATTTGATACTTTGAAAATCACTAAGTAATACACTTGCTATTTTACAGGCTAATCATTCAATGGAATTTACCAACTAGATGTAGTTGCAATCGATTAGAAATTTTAACATCGAAGTACCAGACCATCTACATTCAATTCATCAACTAAAAATAACCGTATAAGCTCGTATAAATGTATGTAGACATCGTTCTTTCTTTTCACAGTTGATGAATCCTTTCAGTAATAAATCATAATGTCAATACAAAAAGATCTCATTGGGAACCAATTTGCAGTTTAATCGTCTTTGTATGGTGGAAATAGTAGTAATGGTAACCAGTGTTCATTACTTTTCAGTACTACTTCTATATTCACATTTCGATTGTTGTATTAGTGCATATTGCTAATAATCGGTATTATCCATAATTAAAAAAGGATATATCTGTGTTTAAAATACTAACTAACCTTTGTTATTCATAATCCCATTGTTATTATAGACATGTTGATTATTCTGAATAGAAAATTTACGATTTATATTCATCAATGGGCGATTGCACATAACGCCATCATTGTCAGGTGGCGGTGTTGAAAGTGATGATACCGATTCAACACATGATGAATGTTGTCCATTATTTTTGTTGTTAGTAGTACTAGCATTTTCGCATATCACGTGGATCGCGTCATCTACAAACAGATTTTTATTCGGTAAGCGATGTATGACATCATCGCTTGGTTCAAGAGACAATTCATAGCGGTGATTATGTAATGATGGTGAATTTGGATGTAGCTCCTCATCTGAATGAGGGTGCCCAACTCCTCCATTTTGTTGGAATTTACTCACTAGTTTTGAATGAATAAAATTAAAGCATCGAAAAGCAGAAAATAAGGTTCACATAATAAATGACTAATTTCCACGTGCGATAAACTATAATCTAGCAGCATATGTGTAGATTATATAAAGTCAATAAAAGAACTAATAGTGGTCAAGGATAACTTGTAATTGAAATTTTCTTAATATAGCGTTATTGAGAACCCAAATGCATATTCTTGTACATGACTTAAAGCTAAATACGTTTAAAAAGAAGCCCGGTTATTCAAAATAAATTTCTTATTTTCAACAACGTAATGAGAAATCGGGTGCCATGAATCAGATACACAAAAATGAAGTTGTGTTTTGTCAGTCTCTTAAATTGTAATAATTTATAATCCATTACTAAATACATAATTGATAAAATGCGGGTAAGGCAGGTCAAATAAGTAAGAACGAAAACATTTTTTGTGAATGACCCAGTATATTTTGACTCAATACAATCGATACACAGAAGGTAGGTGACAATCATTACAATAAAATACATTTCATTATATAACTCTCACATATACTAACCCTACAATTGACCAAAGTCATTAAAAGTACTCGAATTTTCGACTAATGACCCACCATATATTAATAAGATGCAGAAAATGAAGATTCAGTATACTTGAGCGGTCGGAAAAATTAAGAAGCAACAAGTTGCATTATATGTTTCAATTACGTCTCATCAATACTTTCAAAAGACACCAAGTAGCGTTAGTCGATCGGAAAGATTCAAATCTGAAAATTACATAAACACTTGTTGTTTATTGCTTTGAATGTTGTCTGGATATCTAAAAGCACAATTTTTAGCTAGTCTGGCAGTAGCTAAAAATCAAAGAGATTTGTGTATAAGCTTGCAGATGCAAGCATTACTGACAAACAAAATTAAATTAGGACAGTCTCAATGTCCGAAATATTACACGTCGTAGATCATCATACTGTAGCAAGAAATCAACAAGAGTGAAGGAGTAACAAAATCGGCGTCAACAGCAAAAAGAAGAACAACTTTTAAAAAGACTAAAGTCAGTGTATCAAGATGAAGAGTAGATTAATGTGCAGGTTCCCTACTCGAACATCATCGGTTGAGTCAAAGGTAAATTTTAATCAGAATTGCCAACATTAAGTGGTGTTTACTAAGGTTGCTCACTACCCCCTTTTTCATTTAAATTAGTAATAAATGACCTCATAGAAATAACACCTCAACAAATTTTCCCAAGGCTGGTCGTCTATCAGGTCCACAAATGGACCATAGATATGTCGAAATGGAGATTTCTGATCGCCTTGAGCAACAATGAATGTATGTTCGTGTCAGAATGAGTTTCTTTCCCTCGGAATTATAGATTGGTTTGTATTAACACAACCTAATGATAGTGAGTAAAGTAGCTAAGTATGTTGATCAATTCACTCATCTTGGAAGTTTCATTAACCCTGATGGACTGACGTCTGGCGAAATCTGTGCACAGATCCAGAAGGCTCAGTTGGTCTTTGCCGACGTGCGTTAAAGATATCTGTACGCTAACAAGTCCAATCGGCTTTCCATTACTGTATAACTGTGAAACAGTTTATGAAATTAGAAGATAAACGTATACTGAAGGTTTTGACCATAGGGTCACGAGAACAAACTCAAGTTCGTGGAATAGCTTACTTCTATATAAGGTAAGTGCTGATGATGTTGGGAATGGCAATGAAAGCTTGTCAATCAAACAATCTACATTAGAGAATTGGACGCCACCAAAAGCATTTATCTAAGCTTGAAACTTTCTCCGTCATTTAAAACTCAAATATTTTAACGAGCAAAATCATTAAAATAAAATACTGAAATAGAACTTACTAGGTGATTTGGATTCGAATGGTAAAGGAGTAGTAGTATCAGATACCACGTGATTTTTCGGATTTCCCATATCAATACTACTAATGCTATGTTGACAATTAGAAGTATTACCATTGGTTAGATGTAAATTTGTTAAAGATATAGTAAGTTGTGCATTATTTTCTAGGTTTTTATTTGAATTCTTTTCTTCAATTTTAGAATCATTTTCTTGTTTACCAAGTGAACTAAACAATGGTAAACTATGATAACTAATAATTGTTAAACAACAGGGATTTTGTTCGTAAGTCAACTGAGAATTTATTGAACGTGTAATCCAATCATTTTCAATTGTACATAGTATATCATCAGCAGAATGATTATCTTGACGTAAAGAAAGTAACAGTTTATCATCTAGACCCAGAATACGATCACCAATCTGAATATCGGTTCTAGAAGCACATGAATTCGGCTCAATACGAACAACAACTGGTCCACTAACACCTGGGCCACTAACTAAACGTAAACCTAAATGAATATTTGATATATGACTAGAATTGGTGTTATTGTTAGTATTAACTGGTGCGGCTGGTAAATAAATCTGTCGTACAAAAAATCCTCCACTGCCTCTTCCAGCTAATTCTAAAGCCTTTTCAATTTCTTCTTCATTTAAAGGTGTCATATTCAACATTGAATCAATTTGGTCTTGTTGATTGTTTGAATTAATTGCACAATAAGTAGATTCAGGTAACCGATAATGATTATCATTCTCACGATGTCCAAATCTAATTTTATTATTCTTACTTTCATCATCTTCATCTTGTAGTTCAGGCAAAGTGCACATATCTCTTAAAAAGCTTGGTGTTTCAATACATGGCATAATACCACCAAATAATGTCGGCAGTTCTAGTGACGGAGGTGGATAAGGTGGAAACATATCATGTTCATCTTGTTGAATTCGATGAGATGGAGATAATGACGAAGTGACCTGTGGTGGAGAAGGCTTAAAGCACTTATCTGATATAGAATTATTGTTAGCAGATAATGGTGCGTTGAAATACGGTAAACGACCTAATTCAATTGTACAATACAGTAGATTAGCTAATAGCTGGACCACTTCGGTTGGGTTCAACCAATCTACCGGTTCACGATCTATACTTAACAGGCGATCACCCGGCTAGATAAGCAAAAGAAAAGATTAATAAACATTTGGAAACTCCACGGTATGGAATAAAACGTTTTCGTGGCAGGAAGTAACTATAAAATTGGGATATTTTCGTCAATTCCTTCAAGCTGAAATATCTCTTTGCTTATTTCAACATACTCAAATTGTCACTATTTCTATCAATATGAGTATGACTAGAATTCCCAGTATTAAAATTATTAGCCTCCAAGATTTATAAAAACAAAACAGAAATCTAACTGATAATAACACTATTTGCTTGTCTCAGATAATAACGAGATATATACCTGAGTTTCCTTATGATGCTGACTCAGTCGTAATAAGTTGATTAGAATATTTACTTCTTGAAGTCCTACTTTTGTCAGTGAGGTATGTTACATATCTATTTGTTCGCGGGACATATATTAAAACATGTTCCGTGCATGATTGTGTCGGTGCACGCTAACTGGCTAATTCGTATCCAATCAGCCCCAATCGATAGTTGGAGAACACTCTAGAATCTTCTCATGTAAAAACTATAAATATACTAACGTTTTTTTTATTGTGCTTCTTACTTCCATCTACCCTTGTTATTTGAAATATAATTTCCTTCCTGTTCAATCGTGTTCTGATTTGGGGACTTGTCGAGTGAATTGACGTCCAAGAATACTAAGCAATAGGAATAGCTGGGTTGTAATCAGAAAAAATTATAACACTATTAAACTAAAAGTAATTACTGTTACTATGTAAACAATTCACAGTCCAGTGACAGTTCAGAGGTGAAGTTGTACTGTTAGTTGAACAGGAAAGTAAGGACTGTTAAACAATAGCAGTTTGATACTTTGAATTATCCAACGGTTTTTTTATGATGCAATACCTATTTATTCAACAATGTATATCTAAAAAAGTAACTATGAATACAATTGTACAGTTATAACGAACGACATTGTCGACCTGCTCAAACTTCTCTGGAAGATTTACTGCAGTCAAATATATGATATTGAATAAAGCGATTAATATCATCAAAATTATTTAAAACAGAGCATTTTTTTAACCTTCCTAGCTTTAATGTACATTAGTAAAACAGAAGAGAAGCAAGAAACTACTACTTACCATTATCATTCCTAATCGATCTGCTGGACTGTCATGTTGAATACTATCTACGATTAGTCGAATGTGTGAGTCCCATAATTCTTGTGAACTCGCATAACGAATACGCAAACCGAATGCAGCTGAAGCAATTTCATCATTGTTATTATTACCGTCATCACCACTAATCTTCTGATCGCTGTTTACGGTAATACAGTTGGTTGATGATTTTAAATCGTGTAATTCATTTTCATCAGTTTTTTGACAGACAGAATCAACAAGAATATCAGGATCATTAGAATAAGGTTTTCCCGCCTGAGGACGATCATTACAAAAGCCAAATTGACGACGTTCAAGTACAACCACATAGACATTTAATCGATTTCGAGGATAGGCTATGAGATAAAATGCAGATATACGGATATACTCATATTTCTCGTTATGGCATCATCGTTTACAGGATGCTAATACAACGGTATTATAATGAGATTTTAAAAACAACGAGTGATGAACGCATTCACACATGCTCTAAACAATGGGATGACTCATATCTACCGTAACACAAACGTCTAAACATCAATTCGGAAATTCCAAACAAATACACGCCAGCAAAACTATTTAGTAATACATGTATATACATACGTGAATCAGTACATAGTTTAGGAATTATATTAAAGTATAAGTGATTAAAAGAACAGGAGAAAAAGATTTCCAGTGCAATCATATAGAAACATTTGTACATTATTGCATCACATATCAGTTAAAAATTTTAGATAAGTTAGTAACAATACTTGTGTTTACATAAGAGAGATCAGGAAAGTTTTTTAAAAAACTTGAGAAAAGAAGTTAAAATAAATCGTCCACAATAAATTTTATAAAATAACAAATATAACACATGAAATAAGAGAGAACAGTTCATTATGAGCAAATGAGTGAGGCATAAATGTTAACTGCAAAAATAAAATTTCGTACTACATGCGCAGAAAAACAAAGTCAATCGCACTATCTGAATATGTTGTGTATATAACTGTCGTTTTTTATTTAGATTATGTGGTTCAGTTGTAAAAAAATTTATGTAGTTTTCATCATTTTCATTCCTCCTATTATGTTAACCATTCATTCGATTCTCCACTTGCTTCTGTGAGGCATATGTCCATTTGTTTTTTGTAAAGATTATTTCACATCAAATGATTAACTATATACAATGAAATAAGTGGGGACTGGATAAGTAGGCAGGCAGACAAATAAGCTAAAACTAACGGCCTACATATAGCGATAATGAATGACAATGAGGAACACATACGGAGAGAAAAAAACATTAAATTGGATGATAGTAACGACAACAACAACAATGCATTTCATAGAATAAAATATGCAAACAGATGCATTGGATAGTATGGTGCAAAAAGAATGAACACAAAGGTCCGATCAAAGGGATAACGAAATGAAGCAAGATAAATATGAAGATTATATGTAATACGTAGTCGTTATCATCACATACAACAACAATACCGAAAACAACGAAAATAATAATTTCGACATTGATGAGCAACGCAACAGCAGTTCGAGAAATAAATAAGTAAAAGAAGAGAGGGGATAAAACAATTTTTGTTTGCTAGCGGTAGACAATTATGATAAAAAGCGAAATAATTATTCAGATAAAGGTGAGACGTAGTGAACTTTGATATTTACTAGTAAAGTCACAGGTTAGAAAAAGGCTAGCGAGTGTTGTCAGATAATCAAGTTATTCACCGTTAGACTAACAGTGTTGGGAAGCGAGAGCTTCTTGATTGGTACGTGTGTGGTAATCATCAGGTAACATTTTTAATAACCATTTGTAGGGGAACAGAAGTATTCTTAAGTTATAATATCTAGCTTTCCACAACCATAATTCTTAGTAATTCCGCTTCTTTACTTTCCAACTTCATAAATTCATCTTTCTGTATCATCAATAACAAAATTACAAAAAATATTTAAAACCGTAAGGCAAAACGATGTTGATCATTCATGAAAGTGTTTTAAAAAAATCAACCAACGATCCCGATAACTCGAGCTTAAACGGAAGCATACAATTGGTTGAAGGTGTAAGGAATACAATTCCTAACCTTTACAATAATGCTTTCACAACTACCAACTTTAGAAATGAAATGACGTTTAGAGGAAGAATAATCATATAGCTTTCATTTCTATTCATAATTACTTAATGATCATCTATAAAGTTATATTAACGTCAGTTGAATATTTTTGTATATGATGGATAATTTATATTCATTATTAATACATATTCAGCCACTCAGTGAGTGAATTCGTCATTACAAAAACTTTATTATTCATTTTTTAACCATTATGACAATATCAGCATAGTTAATGAACTTTATAATTTATTGATTACCGATCACGTCTAAACAAGTACAAAAGGTGGAGGTTTGTTTACAAATAAGTTTAAATTTACGAACAAAACAAAACACAAGTGTATTATATGAACATACCATGCATTGATGGCCCAGTTTTGTAACGTCCAATCAATAACTTCACGTCGCTATGTGCATTCTATATGCAAAAAAAAAATAAACACGTAATCATGAATGAATATAATCCATTGGTTTATGTAATGACAAATACAAATATGTTTATCAAGATTTCAAACTTTAATTGGAAACTGTAATTCATATTTTATAAGACTGTAAAATTTAATTAAAACGAATGTCTTGCATATATATATGTATATATATAATAGTGGATTAACCGTCACTAATTAAAAAATATGCTATGGTAATTTATCTGTTATTTGTAATTCTAATGGTCTTGGAAAGAATAATTGTTGAATATTCACTACAAATAAAGCGTACAAAAATGACATATGGGGTATATTAGATAGCTTTTTGTCTTATTCAATAAATTCTGGCTCTCAATCACATTTGATTATTCGCCCGAGGGTATATTACTGAGTAGTTCCATATTATCACACACTTATAAGTAGGCAAACAAAAGTTCAACTTTTTGAAGCAATCAACATATTGTCAAAACACCCGCAGACATTAAGTCTAGGACAAGAAATTTAAACATTTTTATAATAAGTAGTATGCTTGTAACTAAATTTATATTGTTGTACATCTACTTAACCTACAATCTAGAACCTACATTCACTAAGAAAACAACACTAACTAACCTTTAATAAATTGACTACTTCATCTGATTTAGCCAAACGCATATCCCAACCATTAATTTCTAAAATTATATCACCAACTTCCAAAAGATTTGAACGAGCAGCTGGACTATTCTCTATCTGGTTACAGAAAAGGAGAAAACAAACCATCGAACAGAGAAAAGTGTGAGATATCATAGCTATGTTTCGATGGGAAATAGCTGAAACGTACATGAAATTCAACAAGAATCACAAATTGACCCAAATCACTCTATTGACCAATAAAATTAAACGTAAAACAAAGAATTGAAGTAATCGAAATTTTCTATGGATCATTGTGAATATAAGGTAGGCGATAAATTGAATGGTGGGGAATTAATTGAGTAAAGGTAATAAAAAAAACAAAGTTCTACACTCCATGCATATTCAAAGGGAAGATGTGTTGTTAAATTCAAATGATTGTTATTTTATATTGAATAAAGTTTGAATTAATGATGATCATAGGAACACTATTTTGGGAGAAACTATCAATCACAAATATACGAGGCTGACCATAAACTCATGGTCAGCTTTGATCTATAGTAAGTTAACTAACTACTGTGAGACGCAGCTATTTGAGTACTATGAAATTTTAAGAACATTCAGTTTTACCAAATATCGGAAAAATAACGGAAGAAACCCACTAATTTACTGAACACAGAAGGAAATCCAGAGAAAATGTTCTCTTCAACGATATCATTTACTAAATTTGTACAATCGTATTTATGGTGGCTCGATCAATATATAAGTCTAAACAAGAACAGAAAGAAACCAAATTATAAAGACCTCAAAGATTTCAAGTACCAAAAGGTTGCGTAAAAATCTCGAAGTTGAAGAAACGTAGGAAGATGGAAATAATTTAAGGACCATACATTTAGGAAATAATCGTCCACATGACAGATATAAAGAAAAGACGAAAAATATATAGGTAATAATAACAATTGAATAATAATTGATATATATATATATATATATATATATATATATATATATATATATATATATATACTTACAATGCCTCCAATAGCTGTACCAGTCGAATAATGAGGTCGACCAATCAATGACAGACCAAAACTTTGTCCAGGCATATCACGTTTCAAGTGAACATTATGACATTCGAATACACCTTGATTTATATATTGTGGTTCAGGATCTCTGTACACAACCAATTGGATACAGTCATCAGCTGTTCGTATAATCTGGTAATTGAAGTAAACATAGATGAAAAGTTGAAAAGAACTAAAATTGGAAGTTAAATTTTACGGAGACAATGTGTGGAATTCCTAGCAGGAATCACTGGTAAAAAGAAGTCATGAGAACAAAACAGAATACCTTTGTGGCATCTTTTTGGGTAGCTTCACGAAGATCGATCCCATTGACAGCTAATAAGCGGTCACCAACTTGAAGCCGACCATCACGTGCAGCAGCTCCACCAGAGTGTACTTCATGGACCAAAATGTTACTCTTTAAAGCAACAAATAAAAAGGAGCAGTGATTCACTGGTAGTTAATCTAATATGCTTAGATGAATTATGTATGTGAAAGACTATCTTTCGATAGGAAACTTAGTACGATCGTTCAGTACGCAGTTCATATTACGGAGACATCCTCACGACGGGGCCTAGTAGTTCCGTGTTCGATCTTAATTTGAGTTGTGCACAAAAACTCTTAAGGAGCTATATGCTAAGATGAAACAGCTCCTCAATGTTCCCCATAGTTCAATGTTCTTCTAAGTAAAATCAGTCAATCATGTAAACTACAAATCTAGCTCATATCCCACATGATGTGAAATTGTAGCAAGTTAACATCTAGTAAAGAGTAGAAAAAGGGTAATTATTTCCATATAATCAAGCATATCATATTATATACGTAAAATTAATAAATAGGACTGAGCAAGAACAAAGATTGGTCCAGAATAATATGAATTCATTTTATTTCGTTAGGTTCTCATCAGCTGCTTACAACCTATAATAATTCAAAATCAGTTATTATACTATATATATACTTATAAATACGAGGGTGATTAAAGATGAATATATGTATCATGATTTAGCGAAGATTTTAATAGAGTTAATAAGGTCATAAAAGTCCTTTTGTTTCGGATGAATAAACTCTGGGAAAGAAAGTTCCAGAACATTGAAATAATGATTAGAGCTCATGCAGTTAACAAGCATTAGATGATAGTGCAATCAAGCAACTGAGAACAGATTAATGGTAATAAAGAAAGGTAAGAATTGAAATCAGTTAGCTATGAATTGAAGAAAAATGACAATGATGTCATTAAACTTCAGAAACAGTTGAAATAATCATCATTTATATTTAGCGAAATAGCACATACCAAAACTGTGTCACTTCCACCGACAATCGAGAATCCGAGACCTCCGTCAGTCTTGTACAGAGTAACTGTAGCAGGAATCCCAGGTATAATGGATAATTTATGATGCTTTATATCATTGTCTGGATTATCCCCTGTTGTAGTTACATATCCAAATTGTAGCATTTGTTGTGAGTCACTGTGACAAGGTATTTGTCTACCGATGGTTAGGCGTACAGATTTTCTTGATTTTTGCAACAATTCCAGTGTACTTTCATAATCACATTGAAGTTGACCATCAATAGCTAGTATACGATCATGAGGTTTAAGAACTCCTTGCTGCAAAAAAATAATCGATGTAGAATGTATTTTACGACATCCAAGAAACATTTATAAGCATTACATTGAAAAAATAAAAGAAACCTATAAGCAATCCAGATCAAGACATGAAATCAGCACATAAAGTGATGGACTGAGCAGCGTCCTTAGACAGTTGAGGTTCTGTTGGGGCTGCTAGATCCCCAGAGATCACTTAGCAAAAGTCTTAATTTTGTAATTTCATTTTGGGAATTTGAATTTCTTGTTTTCGCGCCAGAAGCTCCCATTTTCACCTTCACGTTGTATTTCCAATTGGAAAGGACCCTAAATGGCATTGGTTCGTCTCCTATTTGAGTACACTATTTGTGACGTTTCCCAGGGACATTTTTATGCCGTATATATACACTTGAGTTGTGTGCTTGTGGAATACACCTTTCCTTCATCTGAACTAGATCTTCTCCCTCTAGTTAGCAGGACTGGGACGCATCGGGATAGATTAGCTTGTATTGTCGTTTTTTTATTCCATTCGCCGACTTAAGTGATCTCTTAATCTCTTCAAATATAGCACGTTCGTGAGAAAATGGCAATCGATGATTAAGGGTTTCAACTGAACTCGTTGAAAATCAGTAACAGTGGCCTAGTCGCATGGAGAGCTTGTCCTGCTTCGGTCTGGGCACCCGGGCACTATTACAGCCCACACACACACAAATATGGTGTGGCGCATATATATTTGGTGCCCTCTTGTACCAATATTTATGTGTTGAAATAAAAATAAAATAAAATAGATAAAATGGACAGTCTGTACTCACTTATATCTTTATTTTTACACTACCACATATATTAGTGCTCATACATTGAAAATCTGCTCTCCTTCTAACTGTGTTGGTGCGAAAGGTGAGAAATTGAACCAATGTACGTTTATTGCAGATTCCAAAGCTATTTACGATCATTTAATTGAACGAAATTTTAGAAAATTAGATGAACTTTAGTCCAACACTGATTTACTTATTTTATTACAAAATATAGTACTGGATGTTATTCGCACTTTCATTTCCTAGCAATTTTAAAAACATATCTAAATAACGGAATAATTTTATGTTTGCGTATAACTTTAATAGTTAGTTAACCCTAAACTAATCACAGTATCCCCATAAGTTTTTGAGCCTATCAAGAACAGTACACTTTTATAGTCATACAATTTTGTTACTCCAGATGAGGATAGCCAGTTCTCCCGCCACTAATACTTAGAAGCAATTAGTATAAAAGTAATGAAAATATGATTCAGAAGCACTGAATTACATATTGTGAGATCCACTTACTAGTTGTGCTGGGCTGTTTGGACGGATTTCGCTGACGAATACACCAGGTTCATTGTTTGGACTCAAATTAACGATGAAAATACCGAAACCGTCTGAACCCTATGAAAAAAGAAGGTTGAAATTAATCAACAGTTGAATATTGAGAAGGATTTAACACAAAAGGATCAATACTTCCTTAACGCATCTGGATACTCAGGATTCGGTGAGTATACTCCTAAAGATAATCTACAACTATTCAACATTTAAACACAAAGAAATATTGTGCTACAGATAATCAACTTGGATTATTCTCAATGATCACGTGAAGAAAAATACAATTCGCTTCGAGTTTAATAGGACAGTGTGAGAGTGGAGGTGTATAATAAGATATTTATCATTTATAAGTAACATAGATTGGACAAAAAAATGATAAACTTATTTATTCGCGTGATACAGATAATACATTAACAAGAAGTCCTTTCATTCAATACACACTATAAGATTTACGCGGTCACTACTCCGCAGTTTTCTTTTAAAAAATGTAAGACGCTTCAAATAATTTGAGTGGTAGCTTTACCATCTGATTACTACAACAATAATATTTTCTAAAAGTCATACTTAGCGAGTTTATTTTCGATAACATGGGATAAAGGTCAGATCACGTTTTTTCTAATGTTAATATTTTGTTCGGTATGATGTCGGTTGCATTTTTCAAGTGACACTTATTCAGATGTGTACTTTGAGTATTTTTGTAGTAACATCTGTTTATTTACCATACGTAATATTTATTAACTAAGATGTGTAAAGTTCCATGTAAATGAGTGAATTTTAAATTAACGGCGACGTGTTTGAAGAGCCGATAAGATTTCTATTACCACTAGTTAGCGTAGTGAAAATCGCAGTGGATCCTCGATTCCAGTATTAACAGTAGGACCTCAGTCATTACAGTTTTACTAATTAACATAACCATACTATTCATATTTTATGTAACACTTTTTAATCTAAAGAAAATGAACAAACGCGTTTTCTAGTTGGATAAATCTATTAGTAAAATTAACTAGGAAACCAAATGAGAACAAAAATAAAATGACAAGGCATATTGTATAGTGCAGTAACAGATAAACAATTGATGTTTCTTAGTAGTTATGTGCAAGTTCACGAACAGGACACAGGAACGTAATAAATAGTTGTTTGAAAACAAAAAAATGAGCTGGTACTCAAACCGGTTTTGGAAATATCAAGGTTTGTTTCAGTACTGATTTTGAGACAAAACGTCGACGCAGTTAAAGGGTATAGAGGACTTTTAATCCTACAATAATTAAGCATGTTACTCGAAAAGTGCTACTTTTTACACCGAAAATTCTATATTTGTTGAAGAGATCAAAAATATTCCTGGTAATCGCCCAGAAACGCTGGGAAACATTTTATCTATTCAGTATTGAATAGAAGTTTCTCAGAAACATCTAGCTATATGTTTAGTAAGGTTCCAGAAGCCCAAATCCACATGAAGTGTTATAAATACTCTCAGCTTTCTGTGCATGAACGAACCTTGGAATAAAGCGTTATTTCCATATCCCGCTCCTTTTCTCTTGTGTTCAAGTTGTTGTGTAGATTTAGCCTGGAGTTATTAGAAGAGCTTAGGAAACCGATTCAAGCATTAAATCAAATTTTTTAATATTTTACTGAAGATATCACAGTGAATGAATTCATTATCAATAACAATATTTATTATCATATAAAGCAATATTCGTGAGAATTCAGAATAAACATGATGAAAACAGATTGAAAATCACAACCAACCATGTGCTGAAAATGCTCTACTATGGATAGTGCGATTAGACCATCACATTTATTAGCCTCAATCACACGAGTTAGTCGATTTATTAAAATAATATCAAGAGTAAAAACGAGATCAATGCTTAAAATATATGTTCTTAGTCCTATTTGTACATTCACACATCACACTTAATGGGACTATGATGCACAGGATTATTCGTGACAAAGTAACTTTAATGAAGAGATTAATACCTATTATCATATCTATTTTCTTAACAGTGCATATGACGTTGTTACTACATTAATTCAAATGAAATGTGATGTGGTTCTGTGGTAAAGGTAATCAACCTTCAACTATTAAGTCGGTATCAATGCCAAAGTTGAACTTAATATTTTCAAATAAATTGAACATCGGGTAGAAAGTTAGTAATAAATATATTTTTTGTTATATCCCAATGAGTAGAATAATTATATTTCTGAATATCTCTAATATGGCTAGCATCTCTACACTACAATAAACCAAATAAAGACGAAACAATGTGTAAAACGAATTTGATCAAACAAATATAATTATTAGGACAACATAAGATAATTATCAAAATATTTATATTTTTTTCGTCTTCGATAAACACAACAAAAAAGTCTGTAGATGCTTTTCATCACAAAAAAGTATATTCTTTCTACTTACTCTCTCCAATATAATGTCGAATAGTTGAAATTTCCAAAAATCTTCATTTAATTCAACCATGATCTCTTTTAGAAATGTATGTGGAATTGGCTTTGAACCAGTTGGTAATGGATTAGGTGGTGATGACGATAACACTTTTGAACAGGTGCTCTACAAAAAAGATACGTTTAACATAAAGAAACAGTACTAAAATAGACTAAAAACTATTAGTATGGAAATAAATTATCATTGATAATGCTTTAAAATATGAGACATTTTTTATAAAGATGAATTCTAGTGAAGGTAAGAATGATGTCTAACGTGTACTAGTAAATATAACAGTTTTAGTACATAAAATACTTCCTTTTTAGAAAACTTATTCTCTCTGGTCTGAGTTCATTCAGTAGTAGTTTTGTGTTGAGTCAAAATTCGATTTAAAAGAGATGGTATCCGATCAAAAACTTATGTAAATTATTATGTTTGTATATCAATTCATAAAGTGTTTTTGATGCATTTGACAAATTTTATTTTTCTTTCAAGGTCAAGACCTCAATATGAAACTGTTAATAAGTGGATCTAATGATGACTCTATTAGCTACTGGAATAAACATAAACTAGGTAAACATTTTATATTGGGAATTATAATTAATTAGTTATATGGGTATTAGTACGTACATAGACAAAAAATCCTAATTCATTATCAATGTGAATTGCCTGAATAGTAAATAATAAACGTCTCAATTCATTCGATAAAGTGTCCAAAAACAAAGTGTATCGCAATCTGACATCACATTATAATACGTTGATTAATTAACACGGCATGCAATTTGAAAAAAGGTCGATAATTGGTGCAGATATTTTGACTTGGTGTTCGGGTAGTAAGAGGATTACTTCATTTTGAAAAAAAGGATAACGTACCGAGTCAACCATGTTGAGAGTGAATAGGTTACACACCGATGGCAATAGATAAACACTATGATAGACTGATGTTGGGAACAAAAGAATGAAATCAAGTATTTTAGGTTAAATGTGTCAGATGAATCACGAAATGTGAAAGTTCTTACGTAAATTAAACGTGGTTTAGATGACTCATTGATAGTGTTTTAAATTAGGACAAAACAGTTGACTAATGCTTTAAAATTTATGAATTGATGGCAGCCTATAGTGGAAACAATCGTCGAATATATTATTAAACTTGATTTTTTTCAGTATTTCAAATAACTCTCAATAACAGATATGTGTTTTAATTCACTCACATTTATCATTTCAATTAAGTAACTGAAACACCCAAGTGATACGAGGAAATGAAATTGAGAGGGTTAAAGGAAAAAGTTATATATTATATTAATTATAAAAATTGTCAACTGATTCACAAATTCAAATTTTTATTAATCTTAAAAGTTGAAATCACAATGTTCCAATCTTGACAAAAGATTAAAGTGAAATCAACAGCCTAACTAGGGGTGGAAACCACGGTACAGATTCTGTCCTATTCGAAACTCACTAGATTTTTGTACTTACATAATGATATTGGTGTTTTTACTGAGACCTGGACCTAGTACACATAGCATTTAACATCAGAGTTATTCACTGAACTCCAGATTAACAACAGCAACCCAAATTATAGAATATTTATACTTACATTATTTCTATACTGTGGGAGACAAATGTTTAAGCACAATTTTGTTCAATGACAATACAAACCAAAAAAGGACAAAATATCATTATTTTAGAATATCAAGCAAATAAGCTTATACCAGTGAGAATGTTTCTTAAAAATCTATCAGTAGAAATGCAGTAGCTGATATAAATTGGAAAAAAATATTGCAGTGAGATTAACTTACACCAGTCAAATTATCTACACTCAACGGTGAATCATTGCGCTCCCGTGAAAATGACATTAATGACAAATTTTTTGGATTTCGTCTTATGATTAGTGTAACGAAAGATTTGATAACTGATTGATCAGAATCACTCACTTGTCCATTATTATCAATACCACTAAAATAATTATTACTTGAGTTATTGATTGAATACTTATTCGACATTAATTCGGTAATTTTTGAGTGGATAATCTGTTGAACGGAAATATGATCTAACCCACAGACATTGACGTCTTCAACCTAAATATCGGATATAGACGCACGTAAGCGAACAGTATGAACCAAATGAAAAAGAAACAAGAAAGAGCAATTTAAAATAGTACATAAAGACTGTATGATATAAAAGAGATATTAAACCAACTATAAAAAGGCAGTGTGGATAGGAAAATCTTGTGGAAGCATCTTCGATACTATGGTGTACATGAGAATATTGGATAACTTATGACTCTCCTTGAAAGATAACAAGCAAATATAAGCATGTTGAACACCCGTTAAGTATAATGTAGCAAACTGCTGAGCAGTAAACTCGTCCTTTGTTCGGAAGACGGATATCTCGCCTACGCCACTGTTCATTTAAATTGGCATAAACCAATCGAGTCTTCTGAATCTGCCGAAATTTCACCAGACCCCAGATCATCAGTACTGAAGAAACTTCCTAGATAAGTAAAGCGATCGACACACTCAATTACCTCACTCCCTATCACTAATTCAGGCGATGACGCAATTCAATCCACATTCCAAACATGTTTGCATTGTTCTTCTGTTGATCAGGAGACCGTATTCTGTTAAAGACTCCACCAAACTGAACTATAACATTTGGGTATTCTAAGTCAAAAACTGAACCTACTGATAGAAAACCAACCTCTGAAAGGTCAGAGGATGAAGGTACTTTCTCTAAGAGCATTTCTTGTAGACCGAAAAACTAGATCTTTCAAGATTAATGGCACAGCTGGCCAATGAATGACAAATAGCACAAAACGTAGGTCCGAGGTTGTCTGTCGATTATCCACAATCACTTTATATGTAAGACGTGTTTGGGATCCACTAGTAATGACAAATAAGTAGCAACAGGTAACTATTAAAAAAGAGTAAGATACATTTATTTAGCCATTTAGAAAAGAGCAAGAACAAAAATAAAGGGAACTCCGTGTATGAAATTTCTCAGAAAAGCCTACCTGAACAATTAACCAATTAGATTGTGATTGTGCAGACAATTTTACTGGATAAAAAGTACTGAAAATGTGGCAGTCATTTTGTTGTTGTTGATGAATATGAACTACATGATTAATGGCAACAAATTTCGAAGAGTCAACACTTAATTGTTGTATTTTGTTGACTGATACACATTACCATGTGAGAATTAAAACGGATTTTCCAAAAAAATATAAAAAAAGAATGTCTCTGGGAACGACACGCACACAGCCTTCAATATAATTCAATATGAAGAATTAGTGGTCCTTACAGTAATAAACTTAATCGCTCAACGTAATTCGGTTTTCGGCAACCTAGAAAAATCGACAGACCTTACACGAAATGTATAGCTCATTATCGAGTAAATAAATCTGTACTTGATAAGTGAGATACTAAAATGTCAGAAGTTTCTTCATTATCATGAAGTAGAATAATGAAGCACTTCATTAAATGAATTAAACAGATATTTGTTGCATATATATATATATATATATATATATATATATATATATATATATATATATATATATATATTAAGGCTTTGTTTTGTATATGATTAGAAAATAACTAATAATATTCAGTAAATTAGCTTGAATTTTGTCATGTGACAATGAAGACGAAATCGGAATGTCCATACTTTGTTATCCATTATAACTAACCTGTACAATTTCATCTCCACACTCAAGACCGCCACTAGAATCCGTTTGACAGCTTGCAACAAATGTAGCCATACTCTCGGAATTAGAACAGCTTACAAGATGCAAACCCAAATTTCCCGTTTCTTCGTTAACATTATGGGTGTAGTTTGATGAAGAATTAATTAGTAATGGTAGACGAATAACAAGTATCTCATCTTGACTATCACGTGTGTACAACTTCACAGGACTATAGAAATTTACTAAAATATATTGTATAATGAACAAAATAGAACCAATTCAAAAACACAAAACCAAGACAGAGGGATTACAACAAAAGAAAAATATTACAGGAAACGTTTAATTGTAGAATTGGTTTCAAATGTTCAACCGATATTAATAACATAAATTCAATGCAAACCGGGAGGTAGATTAATTACAACAGATAAATATCGGAACCTATAGATAAGTTGAACAATTTGTAAAAACCATTGAGTCGTCTATGGATTTAAAAATAACCTTCAATGATATTTAATTTTTGCATAACAATATTTTGGATAAGAAAGTTTACTAGCATAATATTTTACAAAATGAATAAGTTTCGCTGGTCATTTGTTAAGTTTCATAATACCCGTGTGATGTGTATCTTTTATTTGTTTGCCTGAGAAATCTTAGCTCTTTAAATTAGTACAGATTGATCAATGCGCAATTTTTACGATCTGTAAAGAACATGTCAACCCTATCAGCTTAAGAATCTCACGATAAAACAACTGAGTAAAATCAAAATACTTTTGATGAATGCTGCAACTATCTGTTGTACGATTGTTTTCTTAGAAGCACGGTTCAGTGGTAGTGGGTAAGACAATATAGAGTTGAGAAATTTCCATGACTGATCACTTCACAAACTTGGAAACACACATTCGCTCAAAACTGTTAGCAGCCGAAAAATCCTAAACCAGATGTAAAAAAATGGCCGTCGAGAACCTAGAGCCTGTCAGACATGCATACGTCTATGAAACGTAAGGTGTGTGTACATGTAGGATCCTGATTCTGTATTACTGCACGAATAAGAAGATAATTATCTAGAGAATTGGTGAGAAGTATTTGATATAAAATTCTGAAGTACTTGGATTTCATCCTCCACATCACTAAGGGATTTTCAAAGAAATTAAACAATTACGAATTGTTGTAAATTACACAGTACTAGACATGTGATTCGGATCTATAGTGTACATCGATGACTGCACATAAGATCGAACCTACATTTCTGTTTTACTTGTTGGTAAAAATGAAATTCGAAAACCAATTATTACAATGAATTCCTAAACTTACATTCATTTACATTTGAATCATTAACTACCATAGGTTTTAAATAACCAGTCGCCTCTTGTTCTTTAGATGTTGTAGACAATCGTCTAGGAGGTAGTGGAGGTGGAGGAAATGACGGAGAAATAGAACTACAAACACTGTCACTAACCCAGCCATTTTGTAGTTTTGATTTTTTATCGGATTTTTCATACGTTGAAAACATAACATCAGTACTGACAGCGTTATCCTCATCTTTTAAAATAGGCGATGAAAGTTGAGATAATGAACATAGAGTAGTTTTCCTATATGTATTATGCTGTGAATCGGAAGAATTATTCGGATCTGGCGACGGCACTGATCGAGATAAAATATCCACCACATCACGAGACTCCATATCAGTCTATAATGAGAAAAAGAGAAATTAGAAGAAACGATAACAAAAATAAAATTCTTGATTACTAACAGAACTAACATTCAGAACTCATCTAGCTACACTCTTCTCAGACATAATCGATGTAAAAAATAACGCACAGTTTGTTGAGTTTCACAGCTGTTATGTTTTGTATATAATAAAAAACTGGATTCGAGAGGTGGTTCAGTGATTAAGGCAATTGACTTTTAGCAATTAAGTTGTAGGTTCGGTTTGGGCATCTGGATAGCATCACCAGTCTTTACACTTTTAGGGTGACTCCAACCCAAGTAGACGAATCGGTACCTGTTAAATCAGTTAAAGCTTCTATTGTCAGTATGTTATGAATGCTCCAGAACTAATATAAATCAAAATCATGCTGTCAAACGTGAATTGATGAGTTTTATATATGTATTTGAACAAATAGGCATTGGTACAAGTTAAAAATACCAGTTAGTGTTTTGGTATGGTGTATAAAACAAAAACAAAATAAACACCTATCCCAGATTTGATAATCTAAACTTCAATCATATAGTTAAGATCATCTAATACTATCAATTTCGAAATTCTACCTTGGAGAAATTCACGAAAGAAAAGACAGTGTAACACAACTATCAACAAATACTTTCCGTTTACATTTACAATCTGATCAAAGACTAAAATAATCTTTAGTAAAACATTTCGGATGTCAACATATTTTATAATAGAATATGAACAGTGAAAGTATGAATAAACCCAACTAATAAGTAGACTAACTATAGCACAGAATGTAAACACTGTTTATAGACACAATATAAATACTTAATGAAAATATGGTACGGTAAATTGATGATCAATATTTTGACTACTTCTAAAACACTATTTATTATTCTAAAGCTAAGTGCTCAATATATTGATGATGATTTCACGACATTATAGACATCTACTTCAATAATATTAGTAGTATATCGTGAAAAAAATTCGTAAGAGTGAATAGGCTTACTACAAGTAATGAAAAAAATATGAAGTCTTGGATATTAGTGATGCAACGACAGAATTGTTTACAAATGTCTGGTAATTAGAGAATGTTCCAACACCATAGAATGAGTCGTTAGTTATCCCTATCTTTAATAAGAGTCCACTTCACTTATCTGACAACCATAGGAGGACAAGTTTACTTCTGATGGCATCCAAATTATTGGCTTCCGTCATACTTCGTAGATTGTTCAAAACCCATGAAAGGTTCACTTGTGAGGAGCAGATTGGTTTTCGTCCTGGTCGATGATGTATTGGTCATATTTTCACCCTCTCCCAAATCTTAGAACACCTTCATACTTATTACAAGCCAACAATCGTAGTGTCCCTCGACATCAGGCTCGCATTTGGTTCATTCGACAGGACTGCTCTATGGGATTGTCTATTCAAAAAAGGTGTGTCTGAAAGCCCTATATACAAACACCACTGGCGGAGTGGGGGCATACGATCACCTCTCTCCATTGTTCTAACCCAGAAGCGGGGCTAGGTAGGGTTGCCAAATCTAACCATTCCTTTTCAACCTTGCCATCAATGATGGTCTGAAATCAACTTTGATGGATGTGGGTAATGGTGGTGTCAATCTGTTGTCTGGAGAAGGACTCTTCAACCTTGAGTGTCCGGATGATATTGTCCTACTGTGTGATGGTACCTAAGTGATGCGATCTGCACTTAATCAGCTGGCAACCAGTGTCCGTGGGTATGGCATTTGCTTTGCACCTTGGCAGTGCAAAGTACTTTTACAAGACTCTCAAGATCCTAAACCTGAACTCACTCTTGGTAGGAAGCAAATATGAGTAGTCGAGAAGTTCGTGTATTTGGGTAGCTCAGTGAGTGCTGTTGGTGGCGTGAGTGATGAGATCAACTCATGTATATTGGAAGCCAGAGCGACTTATGCCAATTTAGGCCATCTTTGGCACCTTCGTGACGTTAGTCTCGCTGTAAAAGATCAGGTTTTTAATGCGTCGGTGAAAGCAGTATTGCTATATGTTTTTGAAAAATGGTCTCTTCGAATTGGAGATGTTAGGCGATTCTCTGCGTCGGATCATCGTTGTCTACGACTGACTATTGGAATTCAGTGGAAACACCATGTTCTTAATAATGCAGAGGTTTGGCAGCGTGTGTTTGGTCACATTGAAGATAATTCGGTTGCTGTCACCATCTTGAAACATTGACTCTGGTGGCTTGGACATGTGCAAAGAATGTCTTTCCATAGTGACTTCCACACTGTAATCTTTTTGCTGACTCTCGGACTGACTGGAGAGGCAATTAGTTTATGACATGATCTCGAGGTATGAAAGAAATCTGTACAGGATCAGATTTTCTTGGTTCCTTACGACTATCTTGTTGTGGTCCCCGAGATGGTGCAACATATAGGGTTGGAACATTACCAGAAATGGCTCAGAATCGAAGCCAGTGGTGATCCTGCTGTAACTTTGGCTTCCTTCATAAAAGTGGGAGCAGCTTCTTTAACTGAAAAATATCCCTTCTGGTTGCATTTTGCTTAACTGAACTGCTTCTCCCATCATTATTTCACTCACATACACTAATATCTATACATAGTTTTTCTTGTTTTTGTTATATTCACTTTCCTTCCTCTATCTCTTCACGACCTCATTTTTGTTGTATCGTGCATATATATTTTGGCTTCCCTTGTACCAATGTTTAACATTAATACTTAAGTCCATCGACTTCATGTAATGTGTTAAGCTTAAATTTATATCATAAAAACCTAAACAGGTACCATCTTAATAAATATATGGACTTCTGATGACCAAACAGATATTCAAGAAATAATTGTATGCATATAATCTTCAGAATGTATTTTAGTTGCGTAAACAATAGTTGACTAATTAATTATAATTTGTACAGTTCTTATCAGTACTACCTTGTAACTATTTAGAGTTCAACAGTTGGATAGCGTTTAAAGCTATATATGTATGCAATAACAGAAAGTCGAGTAGACAAATATAGACTTGAAGGTGTTATTTATCAGGAATTGATCCCATTCAAGATACCAAATCGTGATGAATACCGTCTTCAAATAAAACTAGTTTCCATATAAGCTGTCAGAAAAATAGTATAATTGTAGTCATCAGAAAAATACTTTCTGATCAGTTCCTGAAATCCCGTGGAATTCAGATATATGAGATATCAAAAAATCATCAGTAGATGTTTTTGGATTGTCGTTGCGCTATCTTTCGAATTGATAGAATTTCGAAATGTGTATCACTGACACATCAAGGGACTTGAAGATTTTCAGTTCAACCTCAGAGCAGGGTTATGGGAGGAGTCCCATACCAGAAAGAAATAGCTGCCTAGTGTTTTATATTCTTTAATGGTACTCAACATAAATTAATACGTGATGAATATCGCCCTCAAATTAAACCGGATTCTACAAAGCCTAATAAAAAGTTCAAAGCTTCATACATAGTCTTGACACCATCATCTGAATAAATTCGAATGCAATATGAGGTTATGATTTTTAGCGTTTAAAAACGAGACAATCGATAGAACTGAGAGGTTATTAGTTAGCTTGTGATTCACATTTTATGAATGAATGATCCTGTCTCATCTGAAACGATCCTGGAAATTCATAGCTCAAGTGAATTATTTTAGTGCCGAGTTGTTTGAAATATTAAGCTTTTATGTTATTTTTTAAAACCGAGGTATATCCATAACGATGATGACTTTTAAACATTGAACACTTCACTACTTTAATCTATATTCGTACATGTGAGTAGTAACAATTTCTGAATATATGAAGTCACTCAAAATACTTGTTTAGTGACCAAAAAGAAGTAAAGAAAAGTAGAAATAAAGTATTGAATTAAATTCCGTATCTCACTTAATTTCAGTAGCACAGTCAGTCAGCTAAGACGTACGACCGCGCACATATGTGCATCGGTCCAAGTTGCCATACCTCATTAGCACAGCAAGATGAACACCGGATTAATAGAAGTAGTTCAGTCAATGGTGGTAATATATAAAAGAAAGATTACATATAAGGATATAGTATAGGAAGAAAGATTTAGTACGTAGAAAGATATGAAGCGGTTTTAATCTCATAGGTTAAGGGAAGACAGATTCTGAGCCATATCACCCAGAGTCTCCGACCATTGGTTCCTATAGTCACGCAGACTCCGACTAAGTAGTCTGCATCTAACAACATGACTCAGACCAGAAGTCAGTGTCTTCAAGCACTGAATTAATAGTGTTATTAAATTAACATCATACTTTAACAGTTTGAATGAAAAGAATATAAGCAAAACAACGAAGTAAGAAATAAAAGCATGAAGAAAAACAAACTAACCAGTGGTTCAGGATCTTCCATATCACTGGAACTTGGAGATGTCCCTGGGTGGACAATATGATCACATATTAGTTGACTATTGATAGGTGTGGATATATTTAAATAGTTGGATAACTGGATCATGGATTAAAAAAGGAGAAATTAATACATTAATTAGAATACCAGTAACAGGGTATGCACAAATTTTCCATGTCCCTCTAAATAAACAAACATATTAAACCACTTAGTTTAGACTGAAAAAGTAATAGCTTGACGAAAGAACTAATAACAATTTATTTTCATTAGTTTAGGTTGGGATTAAAAGCCCTGGATACGTTTAAATTGATTTGTATAACAAACCGATATCAAAATGGAAAAAAAGCAACGAAAGACAGAGAGCTTTAAACTATTTAAAATTATCTATGAGTACATATCTACTATTCTATACATAAGTTACGTATGAACTCACAGATAAAATTATATAAACATCAACCTGTGATCGATGTTGGATCATGTTAAATTATGTTTGAAAACATGCATCACGAATATCACGCGGATCCAGAAGAGGAACCTAATCAATTGAGAACAACTTTACAGACGAATAGTATCTTCATTTGACTCCATTAGGTTTTTTATGGATTTTAATTTTAGGTGAGACAACATTACGTTCAGGAATTTATATGCTAATCTACTAATTAGTTTTTTGTCTAGTGACAACATATAAATACTTTCTACATACAATTAGGTTTGTTTTATCATTCACATTTATGATAAACATTTAGCCCCGGCACAACCGAGGGTGAGGAGAGTCAACTCTCCCTCTTGAAATGCTCTCATATGGCGACGGGTATACAGCCACTACCAGGAAAGTCCTAATCACTGCCTTCTCGCGGCTGGCATGTTGTTTACGAAAGTGAGAGGGAGAAAGGCAAATGTCTGGCGCTTTAACCGGATTGGTGAATATAGAGGATCCACCTATGGGAGTTGAAAAATCCTGATTCCATGGACTGCCGGATCCTGAGGGAATAAATGACGTATGAACCTATTGTTGGTCACCGGCTACCATGGGACTGCATCTCCTTACGTTTCTCTACTGCCTTGCGGATTAGACCTTTAGGTCAAAGGCTCGAGAAATGGTCGTCCTAGAAAACCACCTGCTTCGATTTGGGCGCTCTGGCAGTATCATACGCTTCGCACGAATCAATGATAACCACTACTGACCTCATTGTTATTGAGTGGTGCATATGTGTTTGGTGCCCCCTTGTATCAATATCTATGTGTTCAAATAAATAAATAAGTCATAATAATTGCAAATCTTAGTAGTCTAAATACTAATAGTATATTGTGAACCAATAAATTCATCTAGAACAGCAGAATAACACGATGATAATTGTTAGTGCAATGTAATGAAAACGTCTTTAATCAACTTACAACAAGATTTTTAAAAAAGTAATAAGCAATCAATTCATCCCTTACCTCCATTTTATCAGTAAAATTATTATTATTATTATTATTATTATTATTATTATTATTAGTAGTAGTAGTAGTAGTAGTAGTAGTAGTAGTAGCAGTAGTAGTAGTAGTAGTAGTAGTAGTAGTAGTAGTAGTAGTAGTAGTAGTAGTAGTAGTATAATTGGTAATATTAACTTGATTGCCTGGATTAAGCATTTCAGCAACACCACCATTAATAATATGTTTTGTACAGTCATCATTAAAATGGCACACAACTATGTGAATTTCACGTAGACTAGGCTGATCCGACAGATACTGCAGATAAGCATTGACATAATTTGGACCTTTGGTGGAGACATCGATACCTTGAATCTAAAATTGATCAAAAAGACAGACAAACACAAAATTGGTATTACTGATCAAATTTAAAGTTTTGGTAAACAAACAATTCTAATTTATTACAAAAAGTTTTTATAGCGCGATTTTTTGATCAGTTGTTATATGCAAATTCTTAGACATATGAACAGTATGTCATATCTCAATATGGTCAAAAACTTTAAAGGTTATATATTTTTATCAAGTAGTAACACTTAGTCGGGTCACATGGTTAGTAAGTATTACAGTGTGCAGTAGACAATTAAAATATAATCAAAATAGAACACAAGGTTAGATTACATAACAAAGAATCTTCTAAATTACGAGCCAATTCATAACTGACGTTCCCTTTACGCCAACACAGTAGTTAAAGTACTCGACTTTTAATCACGACGTGAGTGGTTTGAATACTGCACGAAAATGGTGAAAACTTTAAGGTCAAACATTAAGGTACTTGGTATGTTTTTCTTATTGCCTATCATTTTGAAAAACAAAAGCTAATTACTAGGAAATTTATGCATTCACTATAGTGTGGGATGATAAAAAGATGTCAAACCAGCAGAACTAGTTGAGAACCTTTGCTGAAAACTTTACTGTACTCAAACACATGATGTAAAATACAGTAAATATTCTCATTTTTACTGTGATCAGTTTACATTAATATATGACATGAACAAACTTATTAACTAAATATATATAAAGAAGGATAGTGGATATCAGTGAAATCTAGGACGCGCGTTTCGTCTTATTTGAGACTCGTCAGCTGGATGTACCTGCACCTCAGAGTTGATGTTCATTCTGGGGCTCGGACTCAGTAACGTTCGTTTCACATATGTCAATAAGAGACTGATCGATTGCAGTTCTAAACACCAATGGAAAGATTCAAACAAACAATTTAAACTTCACCCTATTGCAAAAGCAAGTGGCTATCAGGACTCAGTAGCTAAGTGGATAACGCGGTGTTTGAAGCGAATGGTACAGAGTTCGAGCCCCAGAGTGAACATCAACTAGGAGGTGCAGGCACATCCAGCTGACGAGTCCCAAATAGGACGAAACGCGCGTCCTGGATTCCACTGGTGGCCACTATCCATCTTTGCATATAATGCTTGTGAATTAAGGTTATATCGAGGCAATACACACAGTATGTATATATGCCAATAAGAGGCTGATCGATTGCAGTCCTGAACATTAATGGGAAATTCAAACAAACAATACCAAGTGAACTTATTAACTAATCAGTAAGGATAGTAGCAAATGTTGTCTTTATCTCTTCTAGGCCCTATTATTTATGGATGACATTAACCTGAAAAAAAACAGGAAGGTGAACTAACAATTGTCTAAACAAAGATTACTGCATGATAAAACAAATCTCTAATAGATATCAAATCGTTAAAACAATATCCGATATGTTACAGTCGATAGCTTAAACCGATATATCGGATTTTAATTTACAGAACATTAAGGTTGTTAGCGGGACATAGACCGGATTGTAGCATGCTCAATGCATGATTGCTTTGGTGCACGCTGATTGGCTAATTCTTATCCAATCAGCACTGGTCGATAGTTGGAGAAGACTCTAGAATCTTCTTATGTAAAAACTATAAATATACTGACGTTTTCCCTATTGTGCTTCTGACTTCCATCTAACCTTGTTATTTGGAATATAATCTCTTCCTGTTCAACCGTGTTTTGATTTGGGGACTTGTCGAGTGAATCGGTGTCCGAGAATACTAAGCAATAGGAATAGCTGGGTCATAACCGCGTAAGAAAAACTGAGATTATAACAGTGGCGACGGGGAAAAAGGAAAACAAATTCAAGATGCCCATATCAGATGACCAGCTTAACCGAATACTACAACAACAGCAAGCACAACTTGATGCACAAATGCGGTTGTTGGAGACTCTGACTCAACAGCTTAACATCCACTGCTCGAATTCACATGCTATTTCAAGTACGTCTTGTGATGCAGTCGCTAGCAGCATCCTAGAATTCATTTATGATCCCGAAAGTGGAAATACTTTTCTCACTTGGTTCAAACGTTGGGAAGATACATTCAGAACAGAATTCTGTAACCAAGACGATGCGTGGAAGACCCGATTGTTGGTACGTAAGTTGGGAAGCAGTGAACATGCACGTTTTGCTGACCATATATTGCCGAAGTTACCTCGAGAGCTCAGTTTCGAGGAGACGGTATTTCAGTTGTCAGAGATATTCGGCGAGTCATCCTCGTTGTTTAGTATTCGATATCGGTGTCTAAATTTGGTGAAACGCGAAGCTGATGAATATGGTGTTCTAGCAGACATTGTCAACAGAGAATGTGAACGTTTCAAGTTACGCTCGTTGACTGATGACCAATTTAAATGCTTAATATTCATCAAAGCTCTTCAGTCACCACAAGATGCTGAGATCAGGACTAGACTTTTGGCTCGACTGGATCAAGACCCAAACGTCACACTCAGAACATTGACAGATGAGTGTAAACGTCTACAAAGCATCAGACACGACAACGAGTTGATTGAACAGGTAAATCCTAATTTAACCTGCGGTAGTGTAAATACTATTACTAGGTTAAAAGTTCAGAAGCCGGTAACAACTCGTAACAAACCAAGGACTGCATGCTGGTTATGCGGTGATTGGCATTATGCACGATTCTGTCCGTTCAAGAAGCATAAATGTCAGGAGTGCAACAAACGTGGACATAAAGAAGGTCATTGTCCACCGAAGCGTACGTCTCAGCCTAAGAAGAAGCATAAACGTCCTCGACATGTGAAATCAGCCGAGTCTAAATCTCTTTCTCTGGTAGCTGCCTTTCAAACAAACTATGACATTCAGAGAAAGTATGTTACCATCCAGATAAACGGCATATCAGCTCGTCTTCAAATTGACACGGCATCAGATATCACGTTAGTGTCTAGAGAAACGTATAACTTGCTGGGTAAACCGCCAATGAAGCCATCTAAGAAAACGGCCAAAAACGCATCAGGTGGTGTGCTAAAACTGGTTGGTGAATTACAGTGTGAATTTTCCTTCAATGAAACTAACTGTACAGGAATATGTTAACTAACAGAACGGCCGAACCTTGATCTTCTTGGTCTAGATATGTTAGACAAACTTGGAATAATGGATGTACCAATTAACAGTGTCTGTAACGTATCGTGTTCATCATTGGACACCCCAGTACTTCCAAAGAAGACAGGTGAAAGGTTACTAGGAAAACTGAAAAGAAAGATACGAACACATTCCGATGTCATCCGTCCTACGCCAGCTATTGAACCCCAACGAAACCTATCGATGGAGAATCAGTTTGACCGACATCATGGGGCACAAAGACGATTGTTCACGGTGGGACAAAAAGTGCTTGCTATGGACTATCGTGGGAAACATCCTACATGGACAGCTGGTCGGATCTTGAAAAAGAAGGGGAGTGTGGTTTACGAGGTGTCAGTTGGCTCAGAAGTTTGGGTACGTCATGCTAACCAATTGAAAGCAACTTCGATAGCCAGCAACAAGATTCAATATCGATTACCTCTTGATGTTCTGCTAGACACCTTTGAAATCAAAACGCCGGGAATAGACACGTCAGTTTCTGTGCAAGAAAAGAGTGATACTTCTCTATTGCCTAGACGATGGACTAATCGAAAGCACAGGCCAGTCACTCGGTTGCAGTTGGACCCTAGCACCAGATCCTACGAATCTGCTCAGAGGGGAGGTGTTAGTGGGACATAGACCGGATTGTAGCATGCTCAATGCATGATTGCTTTGGTGCACGCTGATTGGCTAATTCTTATCCAATCAGCACTGGTCGATAGTTGGAGAAGACTCTAGAATCTTCTTATGTAAAAACTATAAATATACTGACGTTTTCCCTATTGTGCTTCTGACTTCCATCTAACCTTGTTATTTGGAATATAATCTCTTCCTGTTCAACCGTGTTTTGATTTGGGGACTTGTCGAGTGAATCGGTGTCCGAGAATACTAAGCAATAGGAATAGCTGGGTCATAACCGCGTAAGAAAAACTGAGATTATAACAAAGGTTGAATTTAAAAAATATACACAACTTATCCCTAAAATATACAAAATGAATATATATTCTGAAATCAGATCAGATACTTCAACGATCCATTTTGTTATGGTTATGTAAGTGTTCGCAACATACACTTTGTTGGGATATTCAGAAAAGTATCCCAAAAATTATTCTGTTAAGTCTAACGCTATCCTTGGACTTGAGATGGTGTCGTTTCCTCATTGATCAATATTCATTTAACGTGTCATTTTCCTACTGGTCAATATTGTACAATGTTATTTTCTATTTTATGGTACGATGTGGTTTGTTTGACTGGTATATAAACAAAGTATGTTTGAAATATAACGATTCATATATCCGAGGCTGAGACTTGCGTTCTGGACTTGACTGGCTGGGCTAGACAGGGAAGCGGGACCAATCAGAACCCTAGGCCGTTCTACGTGTTTGCGCGTCTTTGGTCCGATCAATAATTCGCTACCCTCTAACCTGCCGTCACAGTTATAGCACACTTAGGATTAAAATTGAACATGTGATTAAAACGTACAAACAGTTCTAAAATTAAATTGAGGTTTGAGACTCAGGATACTAACAATCAAAAATAGATAACCATCTATCAATCAAACAATCTATTTCTACCTCCATGCTATTATTATTTTGTGTGGGAAACAGAAAATTGTTCTTACTTAGAAAGAATATCTTTGTAACAAATTATCCGAAATAAAAGTATATATAAACTATAAACTCAGATCTTGCCAGTGAACTTGAGTATACTATGGAACAATATCAGTATAGCGAAAGGCTATTGTTAAACAATCTATTTAACATACTCTTTGTTGGGACCGTTATTTACTATATATAGTGCAATTTGTATGAACCCTGGTGAGTTGAGAGAGGAATTAACCTCTACAAATTAACGGACCTTCGGCATGAGTGCAAGAAAGACCTTTTATTAACTTGAACTAAATGTAACACAGATATGACATTCGTCTGTTTTCGAAAGGGAGAGTATGATATTCAATATAATTTGTACTATAAATGATAAAGTCATATTTAAATTGAAAGATTACTTCCTATAATCTTAGATAATATGAGCTTACAAAAATCATGATTTAAAATGTGTGTAGCACAGACTAAATTGTAACAAATTTATTAACGTTTTCGGATTCTAATTTTTAAAGAACAAGAATAATAGTCTTGACATATAAGAAAACATATGTTTCTTTAATCCCAGTGATACATGAATGAGAGAAAGTTGGTCGATTGAAATAAAACTAATGAACATAAATTGATGAAAAAAAATAAATCATCATGCAACAACGACAATGAACACTGACTTACTTGTAAGATCAATAGACCACGACTAAGCAATTTACAATTTTTTCCTACGCTATTGGGCAATATCTCGGATACAATGCTTGGATTTTCTAAATTCATTGGTGCTGAACAATTAAATTTTGAACAAATATCAGAACCTTTAAACAACAATTAACAGAAAAGAAAAGTAACATTTTCAATAGTCTACTATTTATTACCAGAAAATAAAGAAAATATCTAGTTACACAATGATATTCGTTTTGTATTACTTCGAAGATTAAGAGTGTACACTGAAATACACATACAAACAGATATGTGTCAATAGAAAATTGAAGAATTCGTCACTGTTCATCAAGAATGTAAACAGGATAACCTGGTTTAGTTAAGGAATAGTAATGCACAATATGAAAATTGACATCAACATACAAACATCCACATAAAAATGAGTACAAGAAGTTGGATGTATGTCTTGCATAGTTAAACTGCTATCATAACACAGAATCAATATTTTACTCAAGATTTTGAAGTTCAATAATACAGAAAAGGTTATTTTGAGTTTGTAGACGACTTACGTCAAACACTTACTACAGCTGAAGAACTAAGCAAAATTACGGAACACTGGACAGTCCCTAAGTACCTTGGTAAGGTCGAATGTGGAGAATGTCTACCCTCTCTCTCTCAAAAAACGCTTCCATACGGCCACATGGATATAGCTGCTGCTAAGGAATTCCTAATCATGTCTTCTCACAGCAATGTTGTTTACGAAATTGAGAGGACGAAAAGCGTATGCCCAGAGTTAAACCGGGATTCTGGATAGGAAAGAATCACAAAGGGGAGTTGAACAACCCTAATTCCAAGTCAAAAGTGCACTCGGACTCCAGGGTCACCAGCCACTATGTTATAGAATCTCCTGATGTCGTCCCACTGGCATGTGAGTTAGATATCAGGGCGGCCTGCTTGAGCATCTGGGCTACCTGTTCCTGCCATCTAGATATTTCAACAAGTTATCTATTTTCGTTTGTTTTAATATATCATTATGTTTATTAATCGCATAACCTATTCTGCTGCGTTTCTGAAAAGTGTACAACCTTTCGTTGTCAAAGTTACAGAAAACTCAATAAGAGACAATATGGTTGCTGGCAATGTACAACGAAAAGAATGTACATTATTCAGTTGTTCATTCACTGAAGTGCTAACATCTAACTGGCGATTCCTCAATATTTATCGCCAGGACCGACCAAGAAGAAAGAAACGGAAACTTGTTGAAATACTTTGCGCTGAGAATTCTATATTGTACCAAAATTATAATATTGAATAAAGCTAATAATAATAATAATAATAATAATAATAATAATAATAATAATAATAATAATAATAATAATAATAATATCGAGGAGTGGACTCGCCTATAATAGACTAAACTCGTTCATTCATTTTTTAATCACTGAATTATTTTTTCCACCATCTTCGCACTGGTTTATCTATTTCTTCACAATTCTATTTGCTTCTTTGTGTGGCTCATGTTGATTTTGATGACCTTTGCATGAATATTTATGTATTTAAATAAAAAGCTAAATAAATCTTAATCTCTATAAACCAAACTTTAATCCTTAGCTCAATAGTGACTATCTTTGAAATGGAATTATGGATTCTCGGAGAAATGTTGTGGGAAAAAACTTGAGCGGGTCCGTCACTGGCGTTGAATAAATGTTCTGACTGAAGTAACGCGTTTGCTGTGAAACCTGGATGGTGGATGATTTTGATGGAGTTTTGTTCTTTGAGCTGGATGGTTTGGTCGTGGAGCTTTCATCTTTCTTCTGAACGATTTTCCGGGTTCACCTCCTGACTTTCTTAGATACGTAGGTTTGGGGAGCTTCATGCTCCATCCACTATTACATCTGATATGACGGATATGAGTTCGACCTAAAAGCCAGGTCTCAATTCACTTGGGAGTGAGGAATCTACAAAACTGATTTCCGCCAATCGTTTATGATACTTATTCATTTTCATTTTTGTTTGATAAAAAAACATATTCTTATAAAAAGACAGGAACCATAAAAAACCTTATAACTCACCAGATACAACCAAACCCCAGGGTTGACTAGTATCTAAACGATGAAGTACAATTGCAACCGGAGGTGACCAATTTATAGGTTGCACAATGGACGAATATGGAAAAGAACTGTGAGCAAAACGATGCAAAGTAATACAAACAAAATATTAGCATAGTAAAGCGAAATAAGTTGACTGAAAGTAAAACATAGAAACGACATTATTTAAAGGTAAATGCGATCAATTTTTAAAGCGGCTATATTTATTTATCACTGAAAATATTATACGAAGAAAAAATAGCCATTTAATAACCCTTTAATCACTAAACGTTCCTTAGTTGATGTTCTTGATAACTGTCTAAAAACCAAATATTTTCTTTAAAAAGCATCTAAGTTATTAATAATTGAATGAAAACTACTGACGAGAATTTAAATGAAGTCTTCTAAGTTCAAACGGCGTGACTTATGGATGCGCTCAACTCGATAATGAACTACTGATCAAGAACCAAATTACATTGTGAATCGAGTGCAATTAAAGATGACAACATAAACTTTTGCAGCCAGTCTAAAATCACGACGGCTTCAACGACTAAACTTATTGGTATAAGAAGCTTTGGGGTTCGTCATACTTAGATCAATATCACTAGTCACGCCACCACCGGAGTTCATACAACAATCCAAATACATGGACTTTCCGGTTACTTCTAACGGCTCACCACAAAGAGGGATTCAGACACATGTTCATTCAAGTTTTATAAAAGTGCATTGCGTTCAGAAGATACAAAGTACGTGTCATACCTTACAGACACTGATTGCCAACTGATTAAGTGTTAGTTTGCATAGTATGCAAATATCATCCGCATATTCAAGATCGGAGAGTTTTTCTCAAAGTCACAGATCTATACCATAATCATCACTACCTATTCCTATCTAAGCTTTCTTTCATAATCTCACAGATGGCTGAGTTGGAAAAAAAGGGCAACATTGGCCAACCTTGTCTAACCCCACTGTTGGGTTGGAACAGTAGAGTGAGATGGTTGCATGCCCTCAATCTGCCTGAGGTGTTTGTATACAGAACACTCACGATGTCAATAAATTGCTCACTCATAGCCTACTTTAATAGAATTCCAGAGTACAGTTCTGTTCGATGAGTTGAAGGCTGTCCTGGAATCAAGAAACACGATTATTGACCTGCAATAAGTATGGCGGCATTTCAACGTTCGACGTGAAGTGGTCGATGTATCCACAACCTGATTGCAGATTGGTCAGCTCCTTGCTAGTCAGTATTTCACAACCTGCGAAGTATGATGGAAGCTATTAGTCTGAGCGCAACCCCTCTCTAGAGATTGGCGTAAAAATATTTTAAATATGGGAGGCGACGATCGATTCATCTCAGGATGTTGGAACACCCTCTAATTCGCAAGCTTATCTAAACAACTCAGATAGTTCCCCACCTACTTCAAAAAAGGCCAGGGGCAAACCGTTAGTGATATATATTTGACGTTGTCCGTTTACCTATCAGGATCTTCAAGATAACTCCTGTTGTACGACAGGAGAAAGATCATTGAAAATAGTTAGTTTAAATAGTTTTTACCCCTCAATATCATTTTGAGTTCAGCCTATTTACTTGTTACTGAGATCAAGATCCTTTTTCATGTAGCTAATGAGTTAGACTGGATAGAAAATTCGAGCGCAGAGAACGAGGTTATTGGATATTATTACGTTTTCGTACTGTTACTAATAAAAATTAATGGGACCTACCTTCTCTGTAAAGAGTTTTCACTCGTTTTATTCAATGTTTTAGATAAACATTTAATTCGATGAGATTCAATAACGGAAGCAGGAAAATACGTTATGCTGAAGAGAACACAATATAACAGAACCGTCAAAATAAACTGCACTGTACAAGTCACACTTTAAGGTAATAACAAACTATCAAATAACCACTTAGTCTTCAGTTTTTTTATCATAATGTAAAGAAGAAAACACTGAAGTGTGTTTTGTTTAATTGGACAATAAGAAATCAAACATTCGAATAGATAGGTCGTACACTACTCATATCTTTTTATGTTAAGTTTAACGCTTATTCTGTACTTTCTTTACGATCTATTTGTATCACTGAAATAGTCGATAACTAGAATCCAGTTATTTCACGTTTGACTTCAAGATATCAAAGAGTTAAATTCGCAATAAGAATAGGGATTATTACTAGAGTCGCGTAAAAGACAGTCTAATAATAATCTTTTTGGCTCCAATAAAAACAAGCAGTTGTTCGCATCTCATTATTCCTGTTACGGACAATCAGTTTAAATTTATTGGGGAGACTAAAAATAGCAGTAAGTAGCTGGTTAATAATTGACCTATCTTTGATAATTCATGAGGAAAGAAATTTAAAGACTGATCAGTGATAAGTAAATAATGTCACGTTAGCCAATTCGAAATGCTGATTAAAATGTACTTTCATCTTAACAGTTTAAACAACAGTTTTAGTGACTCAATAACCACATTATAAAACCATACAAATACGGTATGTTCCTGTGCTAAAAAACGGTCGAATTCAACTGATAAGCAGTTATTACAACGAAATGAGTCCACTAACTCGACCCATCTATGCAGTTATAATTACTTTGGTCAAATTAGTTCGTGCTGAGTCGGTATAACAAATTTTATGTGAAATATTTTGAAAGCTACACATAGTTTTACGATGACAAATTATAAATCTTATTTAAAACCCATTTATTCCTTTAAATACATACGTAAGAAACCAATAAATATCCTGATAAAGAACCAAATTCAAGATAAATAAACACTGAAATTAAATTGTTAACTGACGGATACCAATCATGATTATGAATTTGAAATGAGCAACTAGTTTAGTTTAGTCAGAGAAACAGTGTAGTGTATTGGAAAAATATATTGTAATAATCTAATCCCCTGTAGAGAATACATACATCAGTTAATTTTAGAATAACCGCCAACTTCGTACAGGTTAAGTATTTTAAGGTAAGCTAGTAGACATTCAGATTGACTTTCAAAAAATAGTGACTATTACAATACACAAGAAACGACATTATTAGTGTACATACGCGAACGCAAGCGCTCAATACAAAACGAGATGGATTCCGAAAGTTGAAATAATAATAGTATCAGAAAGACCAAACCTTAAAGAATAAAGTATACATGGATTGTGACTATGATATGTTCGTGCACAACGTTAATAATTGGCGACTCCAGCTGATGAGTCCCAAGTGGGACGAAATGTGCGCTCTGGATTCCACTGCTAGCCACCATCCATCTCCTTTTAAGAATTACCATTTGTATACTATAAGTCAACGAAAGAAATACTAATAGAAAAGAAGGATCTCTTGAAAGTCACACGACAAAAGTATCATCTTTAGAAGAGAATGCATGATAAAAAAATTCTTTAAAAAGGAAAATAAGTAACCATGACAAACGGCATTCGATGAAGTCAACTAAGAATACGGCTCGTCGTGAACGACGACAAAACAAAGAGTATTTGAATCTATTCAACTAAAAATAACATTTAGTGTTATAGGGTTAATGATATTACAAACCAAGATGGAAAATTAAATTTAACTACATGATGCAAAGAGATTGAGGATTTATGGCCTAAATAAACAAACTAGAATATTTTGATGCAGATATTGCACAGAAGGCGTTCAAAAAGTTTTGACTCTAATGTGTGTACACAAGAGAACTAATTTCAGTAAACTATTCATCGTTTATTTCAAACTACTTGTTAATCGGTTATAGAAATTAAGGCAAAAAATAAACTAAAACACTGACAAACGAAATTAACACAAAGGTAATCTATTTGTTGATATTTATTTAGTAATAAAAGTGAATTGCACAGAGAAATTTTAAAATTTACATAACAAAATAATAATAATAATAACTACCAAGCTCAGAAATGATGATTGAATAAAAACAATAAAATTTTAGCAATTTATTAAGTAATTAATTTAGCCTATATATTATTATACGGTCATCTTATATCAAACTAATTACAAAGACAAAGAAAGATTACAAATTGATTAAAGTGTCGTAAAAATGATCATTTATGCTAACCTATTTTATAGTGTACAGCGAAGAATACCAATCAGTTTTACATAATGGGAACTAATATTTGTAGACTTACTCAAGTACGAATTTATTACGGAGTTTCGAAGAAATTAGTTAAATTCTTTTGGTACTTATCAAAACTGATACCAGTTAGAGTATAATTACAAGAAATAAGGGGACGGGTACTAGACACTTTGTTTCCTGACAGTATGAGACTTTATCAATGCATGTTATATATCATAAATCGATTGGCAATAAGATTCAAACCTGTTAGCTTGCAGGGAAATTGCTCGCCTTGAGACTTGGTGGTGATGGGTTTCACCTTTGGCATGGTTATGGTTGCAGACTGATGAGAAGTTCATAACTAGGACGAAACAGCTCTCTAGTGTTCAGTAATACATGAAACAATGTCAATTCTTGACGAAAACAACAACATAACATTCAACTGACCAATCTGGTTAATATAAGTACAGTTTTAAAACCGACACCTATTTTTTTAATGTTATTATCCCTTATATAATAATAAGTTATATTATATACCCTTATGGGCCAGGGTAATTTCACATTGCTTTTCAGGAGAACCAGACACCGTCCAGACTTTCACTTGACAACCCAAACAGTGCAGCTCAACCTCGTTTAACAGGGGAGCCAGACACCGTATAGGCTTTAACGCTACAATCTGAATAGTACAGCTCAAGCCCGTGGCGCCACCACACAGGTACCAAGAACCCTGGTGGACCATTCGCACCATTCATATACACACTCACATCACATGTATAGTTATTCCGATCAATGATCGCGTGAATCAATTATGCACAGCACGGACAGGCCAAAGTTGACCTATTCCGCTTACACGACAGTTAAACTCATTAATGTTAGCAATGACGACATGCCTTACAATATCCCAATGACAATGACCCCCGACAACACTGAAAATCAACCACCAATATGAATGAAACCGGTTAACCAGCAAACCAATTTTGTGCATGAACAGTCAGCGAAACTTGCCAAAGCAATGCCGAACCATCCACAATACCAATGGCAAACCTCCAGCCTCATATGAGACCTTCAGCTCTGCATAGCCATATAGCTTATACAGCATAAGCTATACGACAAAACATGTGTACACAGAGAGCAGTCGATTTTCAAATTTCTAAAACAGCGAATCTGAAAATTCACGTAGAAAACAAAGAGAAAGGGATTTAAGAAAGTGCAATAGTATGACAAAGATTACTTACTGAATCACAGCTGAATTTTGCGATAGTGAATGTAAGATTTCAAATGCTTTTAAATTGTCTAAATAACGCATAGAAAGACCGTTCAAACTAGTTATATAATCATTTGTGACAAGAACTTGATCACGAGCTACAGCCCCACCACCTAAAACTTGCACGACACGACAACCATCTTGTCCATGACAGGCTAATGCATCTAACTTTAAACCTATAATGAAAAAAAAGTAACAACCGAACATATTTCTAAACATTAAAATTTCCAATAAAATAGTATGTTGAATAACAGAGTAATGAAATTTTGAATAAAGTAACAAAGATTTGCAACACGTGACAATATGCAGTAGTTCATCATATATTAAACATAGTGTTCGCGTGTGCGACTGCAAGTCCTGAGTTCAATGACCGGTGGCGACGTCGTGGACGAACATTTCTACTGAGGATTCCAACACTAGAACGAAACGGTTAATTAGTGTTCCCAGGTTTTCAACAGTTTTATAATATACATCGGTTTGTGATATCAATAATACCATATGCATTGTTTAAGGATATAGGTTACCCATTAATTTAACGTATACGAAGCTACTGACGTTGACTACGCCACGTTCTCTGGTACATAAGATCATAGATAAGTTATTCATCGTATGTTTCGACATTAAACTTAAAATGCCTCTTTAAAAAAACTGATAAAACCAAGATATCATGAAACAATTGGACAAACAGGAATGTAGAAGTAATGAAAATCAAACGCCTATTGCCTTAAATCAATAGCCATGGAGAATGAACAACCAACGATTCCTTGTGGTGATAGTACTAAAATCAAACACATACTGATAAATAAGGCGTTCGCGTGTCTTCAATTATATTGGTTTGGTGATAAAGTAATTGAAATCTCTGAAAGACGAGTCATCATTTGTTTACTTAGAGGTTTTGTGAACATTTGTTCAATTTTAAAATAACCTGGCCTATTAAAATCACCGGCAGTGCAGTGGAACTCTTAAACAATAAACGCTCACAACCTGATATAAGATGTAAATAAAGGACTTTTAAGTATCGTAGTGTTCGATGCATCTGAACTAGGGAGCCGTAACTCAGCACTTCACATATTCACCTACAATCAATCAACGAAATGGCGTATATTTACTGCTGAATTAAAACGCTGAATGGCATGATTCAAAATCGTTCGAAAGGTCAGAGATTTATTCACTATTTATCTCTTTTATATCTTGAGTTCTAGTAGTCCTTTATGCATACCCTTCCATTTTATCCGTTCAATCTACATTCTTAATGTTCATGCTTTCTCATTATCATTGGTGCCCTGTGGTGTGTGCCACTGATGTCATGAGATATAAGTAGTACGTATCATCAATCGAAAGTGAAATGTTTGCTAGCAAAAGGTTAAGAAGTTTAAGGAAAAGAGAACGAGAACAGAGAGTGATTGGTGTGGAAGCAAAGGAACCGTCAAGTCTGAGACAATTGACTGACATTTTGCAAAAGAAGAATTTGCTGCACAGTTCTTAGATTTTACTAAGAGACTCTGTAATTTTGTCTTCAAATACAGTCGGTTGTCCCCACTGGTGTACTCGTTCACTACAGCCCATTATCAAAATCTTCTTTGCTATTCACCTTATTAATTTTTAACTCGTCGTGTTAATGTATGAAAACTTGGGTCAATGTATATTTTGCTAATGACTAAACATTAATTATAACTGACTGACTGTTTCACATCAATGGTGAGTTCGACGATTGATGATTTGTACTATAGACAGTGTCAGCAATTGCAATTGTAGCACCCTAGCACGGATTTTATAAATGATTTGAAGAATCGTTAATTGTTCACTAGAAGTAACGTAGCTAATACATTAGGTATATGTTTACGAACACGGATTTGGGCCACACGTACCTTGTAATCACTACTGATACCACAAGGCTGCAAAACTCAAGTACGCGGAGCTAGACTCAAAACTGTAGATTTTACTTTCACTACACTATTTAGATCTAAAAGCTAACTGAAAACTTCTGTCGAACTTAGAAAAACTTACCTATCGGTAAAGATCCACGTTCCAAATGCTCAGATATCTCTAATGTTGGGTCAACTGGAGTGACATATTGTAAATCGGGTGCATGTAGTTGAGGATTTGGACAAAGTAATGGTAGTGTGTAAAAATCTAAAGCCTACAAAAGGTATAGGTAGAAATGGCAAAAAGAAAACATTGCAATTTTAATTCATGGTATCAAAAAGGAAATGGCAACGGCAACAACATAGCAATATTGAAACACAATCTATAGAATACTTCTGATTTGCATCCAGTACCATATCAAAGACGAGGCTGTGATATATCCGATGAGCTGGAATCTGATAGAGTTACTAAAACTAATTACCGAATGGATTTATAAAGGATATAAACATTAAATTCCGAAGAAGCAGTGAGCATCGATTCAAATCACTAGGAATGGTAGATTTTCCTCCCTAATTGACTTCATTACAAAAACTATGAACTTTCTAAAATTAGGGATTTTCGTCTCATAGAAAGGGCAAATGTTGCACGGATAAGTAGTATTGTTGCAAAAATCAGCAAAGTATGGTGTGCAGTGGTGAACACTGAATTATTTTTGGAATTTTGGAAATGAGTTATTTTAGATTCAATGAATTACACAAATAAAACAACTACACGCTGTGTGACAATCCAATCCATACAAACTGAATAATCTGACTATGGAAAAAAACGATTAAGAGTTAAACAAATAACTAAATTTTCTTGAACAAGAGATGGTCTTCACCAAATGCTAAAAAGGATAGAAGATTAGGCCACACATTTTACACCAAACAATATTTTAATTAAAGTAACAATTTGCAACGAGAAAATATTATTGTTGATATTCATATATAACTAATTCATGAATAAGCATTCTGAAGAAACCATTTCAGGTTTCATCAAAATACGAAATCATATACAATGACTTCAATAATATTTACATAGTATTCACAATGTTTTAGCAGGTTTTATAAAATTTAGGTTATTAAGTTGACATTAAGGAGGAAGTATAATTTTGCAGTAAGCCTTTATCATCTTATTTGTATGATCTATTTCCCTAGGTCACAAAAATAAAGTCAAGGAAAGTTGTTATCTTTTCACTATTTGTTTACTACAGATCTGACCTTTGTCCTGTTTTTTTTCCGGTGTGTTAGCTCGTGTGTTTGTAAGATCAAATAAATTATCAATAATAAACGTCTTTCCGTGACAACTCATGTTTTGGCCTCTGTATATTCTAGATATAACCTTAACAACGCTTAGAGAATAAGGCAATAGATAAATACACAATGGAATGGTCAATAGTTTACAAAGTATTCTTTTACGATTATGATTTTGAAATAGAAGTATCATATTTATAGTACAGAGAATTTAAAGTAAATTATCACTGTAGATTATATAAATGATAATAAAAGTGTGAATAGGAAAGAAAAAATTTATATTTGCTTAGAAAAATATCGTAAGATAGTAAATAAAAATAATAAGATAGGTAATAGGAGGACAATAGTCGACCATCGTGCCTAAACAAAACCACTATGATATCTTAATGAAACCATATATTTAAGTGACTAGATGAAAATATATAAGTTTGTGCAGGAGTTTATAAAATAAGACGAGATAGCAGAAAAATAATTCGGAGAAACACTCAAGAATGATGTTATTGAACTTTTAATTATACACAGAGTTATTCTCTGTGTAGCAATTTACAAGGGTTATCACATTTACAAATAAAATAAGCTTTGAGTATTGGCATAAAGAGAGAAGACGGAAGATGGAATGGACCTCAACTGTATTCGTGATCATCACCTATAGTTTAGAAAAAATAAATGTCTTGCAGCAGGCATCTGTGTGCACTCTTATAACTAAGTACTATAGGTAATAATATAAAACTGATGCGTTCATAAATTGTACACTATTCATTTCAAATAAACGATTGAAACAGATTGTGTGATATTGTGATAATATCTATCCCAGAATGTCAAAAGCATTTGAATTGTATCCATGAGACACTGGACAGTAACTAAGTATCTTTTATTAGAGTATAAAAACTTAAGATGAACTAAAATATGTAAATCAATTACTAAATAAAAAAGGATTGACTGTGGAATTTACAGCATGTGAGTGTTGTGCAAAAAACAAAAAATTACGCTTGATCTTGGATAGAGTATGAAGTGTTGATAAACTAGCAGAAAAACTGATGTTCAAAAGTTTTTCAACCGATGATGAAAATCACTAGTAGGTAGGATGTTATAACTTCGCTACACATACTACTGGTTTGGTTAGCTGAGTCACTCGTTATCCACCACATACAAAAATTGTATCTTTCAAGCCAAGTGCATTACATTAACGTATATTTGGTAACTAGATTACATTCAATATTATCATTTTTGAATGCAATAGTGTTATGTAGTATGATTTTATGGACTAATTTTTGGTTGTTAAAATAAAAGGAAAAATGCTGATCGATAGATGACAATCGAGTGATACAACATCAAGGCATTTTTGTACCATGGATGTTTTAAACTGAATTGTTTAGTAATCACTGAGACGTATATACTGATTGGATTTCTAAGTTCAATTTTCAATCTTATAAAACTGATGGAATACTTTATGAAAGCTTTTCAATCAGATGAGATCAATAGGAATCATTCCTCCTATAATATTATTTCATTATGTTACACTTAAACTATATTTTTCGCTAACTTTTTCTCCGTTACAGATGAAAAAAGCACTTAGAGGAAGACGAAAAAGAGAATATTGAACATATTCTCTGAAATGAAACAAGAAAGCATAAATACAATAAAGGGTCAACAGAAATTAGTGCAGTCTTAAATTGATAAATATGTTCAGAGAGTGTGTTTGTATAACGGTGTGTCGCCACGATGCAATGTACATACATACACCTCACTCTTTCACATAAACATAATTCAACAGCATTTTAGTGATTACATATATATGCACAAACACATGGTGGCTAAAAACCAATTCATCCATTACCCAAGCATTATATGTCGGGAAACTAACATTCTATAAACACAGAAGAAACACAAGGATAACCAAATGAAAGAGGACTGACCACATAAGGATAAATATTGAGAATAAGGTCAATAATGAAAAATAAAAACAAATTGGAAATAAAACAAAAAATCAGAACATAAAAAAAAATAAATATGGTAGGTATTTAGAAGTCGATTAAAACAGTCGATTTCATAAAGTAATTAATTAAAAATAGCAATAATAAAGGTAATGACTATTATTATCATTTTTATGCAAATGGTAAATACAAGTAAATTTCTTGACACAACGTAAATACTTTAAAAGTTCGATCGTCAAGATACATAATAAATCTAAAAAATACTCCACTGGAAAGTTGATAGTTATGATCAACATTAGTGAAACTTAGAGTTTTAAGGTTTTCTAATTGGAAGAATACAATCTACAAGAACTAAGGTTTCTCTTTTTGCGAAATTCAATCACCATGCACACTACGGCTTTACTAACGGCAGATATTACAAACAGTAATGCGTGGAAATCACGAACTGACTGAAGTTTTAATGGTGGACAGCTGAATGTCAAATGAATGGTATAAAAAAAAAAAACAGTTACAGCGAAACTTGAAAATTGTGAGTTAGATACCTGAAGACTAACAGTGTGAGTTCCCGATGTATGCCATACTAAAACAAAACAACTACATAAACCGCCCAAGTTTGATTGGTTATTTAGCTGATCAGTACGTTATGAACAGTTTTTCTCAAATTGGACAATTTCTACAAACATTCTTTTCTAATAAACTTATTGTAATCATAAGTGCCGATGAATTATCATTTTATACTGTTTGGACTGCCGACTGTAATGTTACAATGATGTCATGCTCGAGTTTCCTTTATCATGATGGCTCAACCGAACTATAATGGAAGGAACAAATGTTTTTTAGGTCCTACCATGCCATATAAGATACTTGTAGAACAGGGCGCCCAAACCAAAGCATGTCGTACGTCCATGATGTCACTGATAATCGGACTTAACCATGCTTATATGAATAAACTACCTGGATGTGGTCTGTATGATTACTGAAGTCGGTGGTTAGATATTTTGAATGACATGTCTTACAGTCGTTCGCAATGGTGCAGGTGGATTCATTCTTTGTCTTCCTCTAAATTCTGAGTTTCTTAATTCCTCATGACCGTTTCTGTGTGTTTACTTTACTAATTTATATTTTATTCTCGAATTGTAACTTCAATGTCTAATCTTTCCTATTACCACTGATACTGTTACTAATCGACTATTCTGAGATTTAGCCTGACAACTTTATCTCTCTGTGCTAATAGGGTATGGCAACTTGAACCGATGTACATACGTACCGGTTCTACGTTGTGACTGACTGGTGGCTGAACTAGTTAATCATTTCTTAAATAAAATGTAGTTTACAAGACTAGTACTTCACAATTATAAACTGACTCGGTACAAAAAATTACAGCGGTAATTCAATACAAAGTATACTCAGAAAAACAACATACCTCTAGGCTTGTTGAATGCTTTAAGTTTAGACAGATGAATTTTAGTCCGAATGAACCGTAACTGTGTTTCATTCAATGACTTTTTAATACACCGAATAAACGAATATCAAAAAATGTTCCGTAAACAAGTAAATTATAACTCCGCCTGGAGCCGCTCTGAGGCTAGTAAAACATATGGCAATAAATGTGGGAAAACTGAAGGTGCAGTACAATCGACACTTATGGCAAAATAGCTGAAGGCCAATCGTACCAAATAATAAACTACGGCTCGGATTTTTATTGTCACTATCATCACAGATGATGGACTGGAAGAGTGGACAAAAGGATATTTAAAAAAACCTAAGTAAGCATCAATTTTATACATCTTGAAAGTTAGAAAAAGAATTTACTCACTCATAAGACTGACATCACGGTTAAAGGACAAATTAACGAATAGTGGCTCATGAAGCACTTAAGCGTACAATAAAAGGTGTAACAAGAATCGTGTGTGGAAAAGAGACCCAAGTACGTTGAAAAGTAACGAACAGTAACACAAGTACAGAAATAAACTTACCAAATCTTCAGTTCCAGTTGCATTGAGACCATTCTGTTAAAATAGAATTGCGAAATAAATTAAAGACTTCATATCACAAGATAAATGTTCATTCATGCTGATAATCACTAATTCATGCATGAAATCAATATCATAAAAATACGACAACAAACGATAAATGACTGACCAGAAAACAATTTATGATGCAAAACTTGCACATGATCCTCACATTTTGATCAATAAAGATATTGAAACGAGAGCAAAAAACTAAAAGTTACTCATAGGATAAGATAATATTCATGTGCTTTGTCAATACAAGATGTGAAAAGAAATAAAATAAATGTATTATATATTACAAATTGGATGATTATTGAGTGTTAAATGATTTATCGCTCGAAACTAATCCCACATAAGCAACCAATAAGAAACAGCGAAATTTCTTAATTGAATTTAAAGATTGTTTTTCTTACGAATTAACACTATCAGGAGAACCAATAGGAAGACAATGAATGTAGAATAATCGTTTCGATCAACTTCAGGACTCCTCAGCACACCGGACCGCTGGCTCTGTACAGGATCGAATACTCTGTGTCATCGATTACTTTAGTAAGGAAGATATCATTTAAGAAAGGAATATGGTTTCACACTTTACAACTCCAGTTAATCTACAATATAGCGTGTGTCGCTTAACCTCATTTGAGGGTAAGTGTCTCACTCCTTAAATAATTAGTCTCAGCTATTTACTAGAACATGAGTGTATATAATTAGGTTGACCGTTCATGGGGATTTGTCCATGCTAAGTTACGGCATGAGCTCACTCAGTCATTCAGCCATACGCACACTTATATGCTCAAAAAAATTGCAGAATAATTGAAAACAGATAGTAGGTGACATTTATTTCATGGTATTTTGTGGTATTTCAACAGTGATCATACACGACACTACAAATAGGATAAAGCCTACAACTTTCAGGTTTTAAGAGAAGAACTACTTAGTTTATAACCTGAATTCCAATTTTCTAGCTTTTCATCAGCTACTAGATATCAGAACAGTTATGATGAAAAAACGAGCATTAAAGAGTAACAGTTTAGCTGCTTATAAGGTTTTATTACCTGACTGACGAAAACAAAGCTAAAAATAACATTGTATCTGTTTGAATTATGACAATTTTTTCACACATATATATAATAACCAAAGTCTTGTAAACTTGTGTTGCTAACAGAATTCTATTGTAATGTATGTATGAGTGAACAGAATTAGGAAATGACACGCATACACATGTCCATTAGTAACAGCTTCATCATACATCTACATCATCAGAGCAATAAAAGAGCAACCGTTAGATGTAACATATCTTTCAACAAAACGTGGTTATAATGAATAGGTGACAAACTCAAATCAGAAAAAATAAACAACACAGTTTATGCAAAACAACAGAATAACAACATGGTAAACTGACCAATAAGTGAGTATATAACGAGAAAAAAATCTCTCAGTAACAGTTTAGACATTATTTTTGTCTTTATTCACGATCATGCAGTATATTAATTAAGAAATGCTACAAAACGAAAACATTAAATATTCAAAAAATTCGAAGCATTTGAGAAATATTGAATAAGAAGACATTAATAGAAGTTCTATTACAGGTAAACTGTTAGAAATTAAACTTTAATTTAATAGGAAAATTGGTGCACAAAAATATACGCAGCTAATAATGAAATGTGTAGTAACCTGTTAAAAAGCACACAAATACTGACCAGGAATGCTTTACTCGTGAAATATAGCACGCCAAGAGATCAGAGACATGATTAACCCGTATTGCTATATCGTGAATATATTTAAAATTTCAAAGAACTAAAGATTTGAGGCACAAAAAATTCATAGTAGAACAATGACATACTGGTTTCCATTCCAAAAATGCACAAGAAAAGCAATAGTAACTGATTGGGTATTAAAGGGAAAAGTTCGTTATTCAAATACAATATTTCTTGATTTTATTTACATGCAGTATAGTAATGGTGACTAAATTACTAAGATGAACAACGACTACAGACCTTTATATCAAGCTTCGTATGTTCTTCATCTATACAGTTTGTAAGTTGGATGTCCAGGATAGCATGATTATCATGGCTTCCAGATCGGTGTCGGTGACGACTATACTGGTGAGATGTTGAAGAAATATTCAGACGTTTACCAGCAAAACGTGACTGTGAAGCATCTTGATCATGTTCAGTAACACAACAATCCCCTGAATTATGTTTATCAACTGTCTTACCGTTATTACAACTAATGCTACTATTACTATTATTCGCATGCTCATTGGACCTGGTTGATTTTGGTGATGAATAACAACTATGAATGAAAAGTGACTCGAAGAGTAAATGATTGAACTCATGATGATCAGATTCAATGGATGAAGACATAGTTTTCGGATGGACATAAGGGGAGAGAGAGACTGATGAGCTTGTAGATAAATCGCACTCTGTTTTTACATCATCTTCTTCATCATTATCGTCAGTGTTATCATTTCCTATGATGATGGCATTATTATTATTATTATTATTATTATTATTATTATTATTATTATTATTATTATTATTATTATTATCCATTTCTCCATTTGAATACAAATTGTCAACATTATTATGACCATTTTCGTCCGAGAGAAGTTGGAATCTATAGTAACTACTCAATTTACTAGATGCAGAACACCATTCGGATCCATTATTTACATCTCCACTCTGACTAATATAAGGTAGTTGGTATTTGTTAAATACTGAAAACTCTCTACGCTTTGAAGTTAATTCAATTGTGGATGCTTTAGTTGGCGTGGAAATATGATGCGGAATAGTAGATGATGTAACAGAAGAATTACATAATCTATCATTATTGGTATTTTGATCTTCCAAGTATTTCAAAGCTTTTAAAATGGATTGAATAACAAGTTGATCGGCTAAATATTGAGTACTACTAGCATTGTTGTCAGTAGCGCAATAACTAATTCTAGAGACCAATGATGAAGTAGAGTGATGATCAGTAAGAATTTGATCTACTTTATCAGCACCTAATCTGTTATTATTGCTATCATCAACGTTAACGTTCGAAGATGTTAAGAATCCAGAAATCATAGATTGAGTCCATGACTGACTTGAATCTGCTGTTCCTGCTTTCGTCGATGACGCTGATGAGATGAACCGATTTCGTTCGGTAGTCGAATTTGATCTAATTGAATCCTCCAACACTTCGTAATTAATTAGATCCACTTCTTTTTGAACGATTTCATGCACTAAATGAAGAGGTAACTGGTTGACGTTATTAGTATTTAGACACTTCTGAATATCGTGGATCATATGACTTTGTCCACATTCAGATAATGTACACATATGGTAAGAATGATGACGATGGAAATAGTGTTGATTGGTGTATTTTCCTAACTGCTCAATATAACTATAACTTTTACACTTTTGGTGTGTAGAAGAAAGATTAGTTTCCAAAAGTAAAGGGTTCAGATGATTAGGTGTTGGTGATCTCGGACCACAAAAAGATTCACTTTGTTGTTGCAACTGATCCAAACTATTTGCAGTAAACAACCTTTTATTTATGGAAAGTATATGATATTTATCATAATTATCATCATTATCGGTAATACTTGCACGTAAAGTAAATACTGAATCGGGTAGAGGCCTTTGTAAAGAAGGACATGAATAAACAGTACGCATTAAACTCCAACTGAAGCTATCAAAGCATGCAGTTACTCCATGCCTTGACTAGATTGACCAAAATAAAATTATATATATATATATATATATATATATATATATATATATATATATACACGTTAATGTGTGCACAACAACCATGAACACCATTGCATATACCCACGAAGAATGGTCATCGTCGTAAAATTTTATTATTCCAGGAGAGGTGGCGAACAGGAAAGAAAATAAATACAGAAAGTACAATTAGTAATTATATGGTACTCGTGCAAACTTTTCAGTTAACAGTACTTTAATACTACAGCGATCATGTTCGCCTCTTTTGTTTTTCTCTATCAATCGCCAACATGTCACAATGACTATAAACCAAACAGTTAAAGTCGAAAGGTCAAAGGTCAAACAAAGGCTTTACTTTAGTGTAAAAATCACTAGCAGGAAAAATTAATACTTGTTTTATGACTTGTCAAATAAAAAAATTGAAACTCAGTAAACCATTTACAGAGGTATGTATCATTTCAGAAAAGCACGGCACACATACGTTATGGATACAAGCCCACTTTTAGACAGCTAAAATATCTCACCTTCACCCAGTTGCGTACGCAAAAAAAGGAAACAACTCCCTCCAAACCACTACTATTATTATTATTATTATTATTATTATTATTATTATTATTATTATTATTATTATTATTATTAGCTTTATTCAATATTATAATTTTGGTACAATATAGAATTCTCAGCGCAAAGTATTTCAACAAGTTTCCGTTTCTTTCTTCTTGGTCGGTCCTGGCGATAAATATTGAGGAATCGCCAGTTAGATGTTAGCACTTCAGTGAATGAACAACTGAATAATGTACATTCTTTTCGTTGTACATTGCCAGCAACCATATTGTCTCTTATTGAGTTTTCTGTAACTTTGACAACGAAAGGTTGTACACTTTTCAGAAACGCAGCAGAATAGGTTATGCGATTAATAAACATAATGATATATTAAAACAAACGAAAATAGATAACTTGTTGAAATATCTAGATGGCAGGAACAGGTAGCCCAGATGCTCAAGCAGGCCGCCCTTATATATTGCATTGATCTGTATCTACGATCGACTGGATGCATGCGAAATATTGGGGTATAATACGATACAAGCTACATTAAAAGTTAATTTGCATATAGAACAGTGAATCATACTACGCAGTGTCCTGATCGTAAACAATTTTTGTTATTAGTTGAAATTACCCTTTCAAATCAATCACATCAATTTAAAAGTCTCACCAAATACAGTCCTAGTAACTCAGTTTTCAGTCGAGTTACTTATATGACAGTTAATGATTAAAACAGGCTACTTAAACCACAGTAATTGGAACATAATTCGAAAATAGTTGGAAGTCAACTGTTTCAATCATAAAGCCACGGTTTCACAAATTTTATCACAACCTTCAATATCGTGTATGTATGATGTGGATCTATAAAAGGTATACCTACTGAAAAGGATAAGGAACTCAAAATAACATCGGTACAATTAAGAGCATAGTCATGTGAGTTATGAAGACTTACACCACAAATGCAACGGTTCACTTACATTCACACAATCTATCATCCAATGAATCGTCAATTTTCTTTCCTTACTGATAAATTTACAGTGTCAGCGTTTTTTTTTGTAATATTTAATTTTCCCATGTATGCCCTTCTGAAACAAACTAAAATCTATCCCAGTAATATGTCGAGTACAATAATACCGATTTCTTACAAGAGATAACAATAGTTAATGAACAGTATATTATTTAAACTGCATTTCATTGGATAGCCAAAAAAGTGAACGACTAAGTAAGAGGAAGATGAATCTTTGATGGGAGGAATATGAGTGACAAATATGGAAAATAACGAAGCATTCAAGATTTAAAGGGGGAAATTTAGAAGTCATCGGCCCACTGGAATAAAAAAAACTAAGCCTTGAGTAAAGTAGATTAAGAACTATCAAACTTCACTTTAGTTTAGGTAATGTTGATAGAAGATTGTTTATCTCAGACAACATGATAGTACCAATAGAGATAGAGTAGCGTCTCGTCATGCAAAATTTACGCCGGAAAAATTATTTTCCGATAAAATCCCATAAGCTGATCGAAAAACTTGGTTCTCTTACGTGTAATATTAAGACTTTTCGTTCAGCACAGTCTTATAACATACAGGAGCAATTATAAATTTGGGTATTAAACAGAGCTTACATAACATAAACAATACAAGATATGAGCACAATGAACTTAAAAACACCATTTTATAATATTTACCATAATCGTATTATTATCGTCATTATCGATAGTGCTATCACCAGTGTTTACGTGTAATGGATATGCTAGATCAGACTTAACACTGATCTTTTTCATTTCACCAGTATCTGGAAACATGCCAATCACAGAAGGTCTAGAAGAGACAACAGGGTATGGCAGTAGTAATTGTTGTTGGCTTTTTTCATGAATGTCATCTGTTTCATTTGATTCTAACTGCATTTTTGCAATACCAATTAAACATGGTCCATTAGGAAGGGACTTTAGTGTAGTAGCGGCCTCAAATACACTAGATTTCATTAAGTTTTTATCATTAACAAATAACAGCCTGTCGCCGATTGATATACGTCCATCCAACTGTGCAATACCACCTGGAGTTAAACTGTCAACTAATAAGATACCGTGTGATTTGGAGCGACTAGACCACGTGGATCTTCGTTTCAATCTACTGGAAGATTTGGAATTCTTACCAGGTAACAATGATAATGATGCAATGGTAGAACCGGTAGAATAATAGGAATGAAATGATCGACGATCAGATTCAATCATATTAGAAATCCTTCTATCAAGTGAACAAGCTTTACGGAGTGTATTGCCTTCTAAGTCAGTAACAGGTAGTTCCTATAAAGATGTAGATATAAGAAACAACAATAAGTGTTATTTTCGGACATTATTAGAAATGGATCAAAGAATTAGTAACAATAAAATAACTCATTTACATGAACACACATAGTGGTACAATATAACAGTATAAATAAACATTTATTTGTGTTCTGACCATCACCTTAAGTTCACCTGGAAATCCTTTACAGTTACTGGTGGTCAAAAGCAAAACTGTGAGAGGGTTAGCAACACCACCTTACAAAAAAACATCGTTAAAAGAAGTGAACCAACCGAACCATCAAAACCCTTCTTTGGGAGTTCAAAGGTCCTCATGTAGAAGAGTTCAAACGAATCATAATAAAAGTCGAGAATCGCCAAAAGCTACAGGGCAGATACCGCCTCTAACAGCCAGAGCAACACTAAACACGGGGACACAGGATCTTCGTGCAATATAGGTGATTTGTAAGGTCATTCAAATAGGCATATAAAAGACGAGATGCGGCTGCCATCTCCTTGGATTACGTGAAGCTGACCAAACACTCAGTCAGTCAGTCAGTCAGTCAGCTACAACGTAGGACCAGGCACATATGTGCATCAGTCCAGGTTGCCATACCTCATTAGCACAACAAGATGAACACCGGATTAATAGGAGTAGTTCAGTCAATGGTGGTAATATATAAAAGAAAGATTACATATAAGGATATAGTATAGGAAGAAAGAATTAGTTCGTAGAAAGAAAGATATGAAGTGATTTTAATCTCTTAGTTTAAGGGAAGACAGGGAGTGTATACACTGACGCCATTGTGATCGATTCTGAGCCACGTCACCAAGAGTCTCCAACCATTGGTTACGATTGTCACGCGGACCCCAACCAAGTAGTCTGCATCTACCAACATGGCTCAGACTAGAAGTTAGTGACTTCAGGCACTGATGCCACGTTTTGGTTTGACCAAACACTATGTGGACAAAAACGACTAACTTCAGGAAAGAGAGAAAAGCACTTATACGATAGACATCTCATGGATCCAGGAACATCAAAACATCCTTAAAAAAAGGGAAAATTCAGTGAAATTTATGCAGTACCATGAACTCACCAACATTAGTAACGAAGATGATGAATATCAGTTTTATGAGGGGCTGTAGTCTATCGTACATAAAATGACATAAAAATCTTGATATGAGACTTGGAATGGACAACACCGTGAATGCAGATATCATGGGACAACATGAACTAAGAAAAATGAGTGGAAATGGTGAGAGACCGGTAACTTGGTATGCTTTACACAACATGGCAATACGTGGTAACATTCTCCACACAAATGCATGCAGAGCTACATGGCTTTCACATGGTCATACTACGAAAAACCAGATCGACGACATATGCATAAGTAAACGGTCCCGAAGTTCTATGGAAGATATAACAGCAAGGTGAGGAGCGGATGCGTCTTTAGATAACCATCCACGGGTGGCAAAGCTAAAACTGAAGCACCGACGTCAGACATAGAAGTAACTGCAAACCTGATACACATCCTATTCAAGAGGATTTAGGAGGATGAACAAGTGCCGATAGACTGGAAAGTGGGATACCTCATCAAAGTAGCAGAGAAAGGTGACTCAGTAAGTGTGAGAACTACAGAGCTACCACACTACTATCAGTATCAGGAAAAGTTTTCAACAGTGTTGTTGAACCAGACGAAAGATTCAGTGGACTCTCAACTTCGAGAACAACAGGTCGGATTCCGTAAGGATCGATAGTTTACAGACCACATCGCGACACTATTGATCATTGTTGAACAATCAAGTGAATAGAACTGGTTACCATATATCAATCTTCTTAACTATGGTAAAGCATTTGATAGTGTGGATAGGAGAATCTTGTGGAAGCTTCTTCGACACTATGGCGTACATGAGATCGTCACCATAATATGGAACTCTTACAAGGGACTAAAATGCAATGTAGAAGGGGACTCAGACACAATTTGGATAAATCTGGATGGTTCGGACTTTGAAAATGACTCATCATTTCTGTGAAATAAACAGCAACAAATACAGATAAAGACCGCTAGTATAGCAGCCATTTCCCTAGCAGTAGACCTCAAGATTCTGAAATACATAACAGCCAGGACCAATCAATTCACAATTGTGGGATAAGCTGTGAGTGGACAGCAACATTGATAAACAAAGGGAACTTGATGCAGATTAAAGGTACGAATCGGTAAAGCAAGGGTAAGATTCCTTATATTGAAGAATGTTTGAAACCCAAAATATCTACAAACCAACACGAAAAATAGAACTTCCAACACAATCGTTAAAAGTTCTAGCTAGTGGAGCTGAAACGTGGAGAACTACCACCACCATCACCAACATAACAAAGATGTTTTGAAACAACTGTAAGCACAAGATGCTTTATATCCGTTAGCCAGACATCATCAGCAACAACTTACTGTGACAGGACAAACCATCTCACAGATGAAGAGAAAATTAGGAACAAACGTTGGAGGTAGATAGGGCGCACACTGCGAAAATCATCAAACTGAATTACAGGGCAAGCCCTAACTTGAAAACCTCAAGGGGAAAGTGCCAGACCAAAATACACACCGTGAATTGAAGGTTGACACCAAAAGAATGAATAGCATTCGGAAACAACTGGAGATAAGAGTTGGTTGCTAGTTCCTGGTGGGCGGCTTATGCCCGAATAGCGGTGAAAGGCTTAATTAAACAACTAAGTCCTTTATCATCAGTTTTCAGTAATCATTAAATATGTATACATGTAAATTTCTGTTCAATAAAACTCACCTCATATTCAGCTATACTAAATCCAAAACCATGAGATGTTTTATTCAGTTGAATAATTAAAGGCACTGAAGACCAACATGGTCGTTTAAAACCGTAACGAGGATCAATACGATTTGGCCGATTATGATGATAATGTGGTAGAGTTTGACAACGGCGATGGTCGTGTTGTTCAGTAGATTGTTTTTCCATACACACTTTACCAGATCTTGATATTGGTAAACGCCCAAAAGTCCTAGAATGTATTTGTGTTTCTGACCGCTGTATTGTGCTGGGTAATGAATATTTACGATTGTTTTTCATTGTATTTACTGGATACTGTTGTTGTAATTTACTAGTGTAATTCGGATTTACATAATTATTGAGGGGGTGCTAGAAAATCAATGAGTAAAGGAAAGTGTGAATTAATTACTGTAACTAATTTACGAAATGTAGGTATAGATATACGTATTTAGCTTTGGTTTACATTGTATTTAAGTGTTAGGGTCAGTGATACCACTTGGCTTCCAAAACTAAACCTGGTTCAGCAGGGTCAGTGCCTGAGACCTAAGAAAATGTCAATTGCTCTAACTATTTGTTAATCAATTTAATTGAAAAGAAGATACTAAACACATACACCTAATTAGCAAAACATACATAAATGAAATATAAACAATTTTAATCCAATGGTTCAATGGATTTTTCCAGCTTTGGATATACAGATTCATATTGAGAGACACTATTGATATTATTTATGCAAAGAAAAGTGTCTCTATTGATCTTCGAAGAATAAAGTTTATCTGGCTTTCTGGTATTACATAAGCACTCGCTACTTTTGCTAAAAAACTAGGCATTGGACTTCAAAATATACCTGTATTATCCGTATGAGAGGGTTAGTAGTAAGACCTAATTATAAATCTAGAAATAGGTATTTGTCTTTGTTGATATACTGTTAAAGATCATAGTACTTTACAACAATCTTACAATAAGGAACGACTACAATGATTTGGGAATTATTGATAAATTTTGAACTCTGAAGACTTTAAAATTATATTTGAACTGATTGAGTTTCATTATTTTGCTTGATTTTCCCAACACTTTTGATGTAACTTACACTTTCTGTGCAAAGACTACCGAAATACCTAACTATCATATTTGTTAAATATAAATGAAGCCGTTTTAAAGCACACCTGCTTGGGACTGACTGAATTAACCACTAAACCATTTTATGGTCGTAATTATTAATCATGACCTAAAAACGAACGTTGGACAAACCGTAGTGACTGTTATTTCATTTGTAAGGGTTGTTTAAGTTAGAGACCAACAAAGACAGTGGTCATCAACTTCGCCTAGAATATTGACAAATCGCAAAATACAAATGCATTTTCTTCAACAAAAAATAGGTTTATTGTTTTTCACATTTTAATAATTCACAGAGATGAAATTGACAAAGTGAACGAAACACGATGAATGAGTGAAATCGACGGAAGACCACGACTATGTAACAGACAGAGATTTCGACGGTTTGTAAAATTCAACACGGTCAAATTAAGTATTCTGGCCATGAAATAGCTACACTAACAACTACAGTCTCTTGTAGTCCATCATTACAGACTTCACTAATGATGCAGTTAGTTTCTTAAAATGGCACTCTTTAAAATTCCTACTACAAGACCAGGTCATTTGAAAAGATGTGCAACATAACATCTAGATTTAACAATATTTACTGTGTGCTGCCACAATAGATTTTTGTGATCAAGTTACAGACTTTTTACACACAAATAACTTTAGTTAAGAAAAATAATGGACCGATATTAAAAATAACCAATGGATGATGAACAATTCTGACTGTCAATACCTCCAATCCAACGATAGGTGACTATTTTGCCAATAACAACAGTTATCAAATAAAAATGAATAAAAGTACAGGAAATTAGTTGTCAGAACCAATGATAATAGATTAATAATAAAAGGTCTTACAGAAGTAATTATATGAATTTAAATTCAAACAACCAAATAGAAACAGTTGAAACTGAATGTTATGATTAAAGCATAGTGTTATATCCCGATAAGAATTTTTGGGATCCATTTATGGACCAATTCTAAACGTATATTTTTATCGTGTAATCGTTATGTAACTAAACTGTTCATATTCATGTCCCTCTTATTATGAGTTTCATTTTGACCTATGAACTATTATTATACGATTTACCATTCTTGAATTATTCCCCGTCTATTAATTACTATCTCCCTCATTCACGGCCGCATTTTGGCTAATTCTTGTATAAATGTTGTTCCACATTTTACAGCACGTTGTGGTCTGTCTGGTTGGGATATAAACCCAGTGTGCTTGAAATAAATTATTCATATTGCAGAGGCTGAGATTGGTGTTCTGGACTCAACTGGCTGGACTAGGCGGAAAGCAGGACTAATCAGGACTCTAAGCTGCTCGCATGTGTTTTATGCGTCACTGGCTCGATCGAAAATCCACTGCTCCCTAATTGGCGGTATCGTTGCACACACGTTCACAAGTTATAACACATATACTTTAATCAGAAACGAGAAAAACATTTTTCAAAAGACCAAATAAGTGTCAGCAGGAGAGAAGGTAATGGCGAAACTAGCTATTCCCAAACATTATGCTTTAAGCAGGTGTACAAATTGAATCCATGCGGTTTTCGAGGTACAATAATGCATATAACAAAAAAAACATTTTCTGGGACTCTGCCAATCTTCTCCAGGTTAAATATGTATAACTGACAAGTTACAAGTAGTCACGGTTTGTATGCAACGACTAGCAATACTATCGTTTCCTCATCCAAACCGCCAATGGTCAAGAAGGATTCAAAACCGTTACAACTAGTGATAAACATTACAACGCTGATTTGTGCAGTCGTGTATTTCTAAAAGCATATAGTGAAGTTTACCAAACCTTAGACAATACATGTTGGTAAGCGAACAACGAAAAGTACTTTAACCATATTATTACCATGAGCACATAATTAATCAGTGGAAACACAACGCATACTACCTGCATATCTCAGATTTCTATCACATACTGGGTTAACTCTTTCCTCATATTAAAATGTTTTAGGAGAAGGAAGAGTTACGGCCGTTATATCACTGATATACTTCAGCAGTATATGTATAGACAAGTAAAAATCGCCATCCACCTTATTAGAATGCACCATGAAAACATTCAGTAAAATTAAGTAACTACATTCACTAACTTAGATGATCAATTTAGGAATAACAGAATATCAAGATTCGTTGACAAAAACATTGCTAGAAGCACTTTTTTTCTGAATATTGAAATGCCTAGTGTTTTGTACTTTAAACAGCAGAATATTGTCGATTGTAAGTTTTCAGCTCCAAAACCGATTAAGTAATCAGATTTCAAAGCACTCTAACGTGTAGTTTTTGAACAGCTAAATACTCTCAAACATTAGGCGAAAAACCAGCAGAAATAAACTACATGAAAGCATGAAACTGCAGTAATAATAAGTCACCTGAAATTAAAATCAATTTCACTTACAAGAAAGAAAAAGCTAATTAAGATTAAGAATGAGTGATTATATATATATAGCGAGGGACTTTCAAGTTCATGTATCCTGGTACCAATAAAAACTTTCTGTTATAAATATAAAACATGCTATTTTACTACTAATAGTAAACAGTGAAATATTTAACCTACTTTTAGGTAAAGTAAGAAACAACAGTAGTAAAAGTAAATAAACCAATCAAAACTTGACAGTCAGTACAATTAATAAGGATAAAGCATAAGTATATATGGATGTACATAAAAATAAGTACTTTTAAATGACTATTAAGTGAACATAAACATATTAATATTTCATAACTTTGATTATTTCTTTAACACAATCTATTAAAATTATATTTCAACAACAGTAATAATAACGATATGGATAAACAAAAAGCATAAGAGTTCCTTTGAAGTACGGTGTTCTCAAAAAATTTAACATCTCATATGTATTTAAGTAATTTAAACAAGGAACTGTTGAATAACCTTTTTCCTTGCTCAGTACTCATCAAGAAGGATGAGAAAATGGCCCCACAGTGACTAGCTTAGTAATGGGTTTCTAGATATCTAAATGAAACAGTGGCCTTTGAGGCCAATCATATTGAGTGAAACAATCATTATCCATGACTTTGAGTGACAGTCCTATTATATATCAACTGAAGTTGAGAATATGGACCACCATATTCCAATTAAATGATCTAAAAGTGTTCAGTGTAGAATAAAGGGTTCCCATCGATAAAAAGCTGCAAACCTTCAACTCAATCTTGTACAGATCAGAAAACTTTCATTAAGACCAAAAATGTCTAATTTTAGTAAATCTTATACTTTCAAGCTTTTATTGTGATAAAATGCAGTTTATAAAACGTAGTGTTTTATGTAGTTAATATTTTCAACGTCCATGTTTGAAAACTATTCATTCATTATACACGGTATCATAACTGGGATGCTGAAAGTCTCATGCTAACCAGAACTATTAATAAAGCTAAACCATTAAAAAGAATCAGATGGTAGACGTCTAAATATTTCATAAAATATTCAAAGAAAACTTATTAGTAAGTCATAGAAACTCATGAATATAACAACAAAAACTACACTGAAACTTCATCAGGTAAGCAAAGTGACCTTAAGGAATTTCAAGTGATTTTTTAACAAAAAGAACACGAAGTGTATACACATATTCGACTGGCTGAGGAAAAAACCAGTGAACAAAAACTAATAAACATTTAGGTAAAAGTAGAGTGTAAAGACGAGCCAATTACGAACAAGGAACCGACTTTTAGGTTTTCAGGCAAACTTCGAAAATCACATGGAATTAGCAGCATTACCGTTGTATATTAGTGCTACAGCAGTTATAATAATTATAAATTTTGTTACGTCCTTGATCTCCCTACCCAGTAATAAACAGAAGATAACCCGTATCGATCTAGGCTAAGGCCTTGAACGATAGGCTAACTGGTTTAACCTTGAGGCTAGAATGCATGATTCCGAATTTAAACTGTCTTGGCTAGAGAGACGTAAACTATTCTATTACTTGATTGGTTGACAAGCGAGAGAGAGAAGACGAGTCGACTGGAACACTACTCGACTTATTTCCGACTCCGATTCCTAACTCCAGTTCAGATTAGTGTAAAAAGATACATGAATAGATAGATGACTAATACGACTACGACTCAAACAATTATACAAATACAATTATATCCAAGCTGAGCATTGGGGTGGAAAAATAGAGTACCAAAGCTTATGTTTAAATTACAATAGCTGTGGAACAGAACAGCGTATAACAGTGCATCATATATCAAACGAAACCTTATGGTTTGTATAGTAACCTAGAGAAAAAACGAAATATTAGTGT